AATTTGGATGACAAATTTATTACCGAGTGCGTGAGTGACAGAGTGTGGATGTAAACCACTTTAGCAATATTCCAGCAATATCACAGCGGGGTACACCAGAAATGGGCTTCACACATTATATCCATGTGGGGAATCAAAGCTGGGTTTTCAGCTTGAAGAACAAACGCTTTAACTACTAGGCTGCATAAACAAAAAAAAAAAAACCCGTGTAGGCAATCTTTTGTATCTACTACCTTGTAACTTTTAAACTTTGTCTGGTCCAGACTGTATTACTTTTATGGTCAATACAGTGAGTGAGTTTAGTTTTACGTCGCTCTCAGCAAAATTCAAGCTGGAGCTATATGGGGGCGGATACGATGACATGCGTCAACCCAGTCAGCGAGTCTGACCACCCGATCCCGTTAGTCGCCAAGCGTAGGTTACTCAAGATCAATGCTATCCCGGATCTTCATTAATTGTGTATGACAACAAAACATTGATATTTTACACATCTCACACACGGAGTCGTTCAATAGTTACTATTATCAGCAAAACAATTTCTTTAAATCCCTTGAATTTTTTTTTTTGTTAAATGGATAGGGTGTAAGGATGTGTGAGAGTTAGACTAATATTGAGAGTAAAACCGGGCATCGAACCCACAATAGGTTTCCTTAACGCCTGAGCTGATAAGTGAAGGAGTGAGTGGGATTTTACGCAAGGTGGGGAATCGAGCCGGGCCTGCCGCGTGAAAGCCCTTTTCTGGTGTCCGCGATGGTATTGTTGGAATATTGCTAAAAGCGGCGTAAAACCAATAAACTCACGCTGAGGATTTGTTTGTTTGTCTATAACTGATCGTCGCACTCAGTGATATTCTAGCTATATGACGGCGGTCTGTAAATAATCTAGTCTGGACCATACAATCCAGTGACTGACATCATGAGTATCGATCCATCGACCGGGATCCGATGGCATGCATTGACCAAGTAGCGAACCTAAATAATATCATAGTCTTACAGAATAAACTCTCTTTGGGCTGAACAAGGGGATTCCGTTAGTCGGGTCTTACAACAAGCATGGGTTGCTGAAGACCAACTCGAACCCGGATCTTCATCATGGCTGTAGCAATTAAAAACGACGTACTGATGTCATTATAGGACTGGTTTCATTGTAGTAACCCACAATAGGTTTCTGTGACTTTCTTATATCCTCTGGGGCGGTGGGGTAGCCCAGTGGTTAAAGCGTTGGCTCGTCACGTCGAAGACCCGGGTTCGATTCCCCACATGGGTAAAATGCGTGAAGCCCATTTCTGGTGTCCCCCTCCCGTGATATTGCTGGAATATTGCTAAAAGCGGCGTAAAACTAAACTCACTCACTCATTTTATCCTCTCGTATGTGACATGGTTTAGTTTTCCAGTTTCACGACATTTCTGACAAGAGGAAAGGGCATACAGAAGTCACTCTAGGGCTGGTTTCACTGTAGGAAACCACAATAAGTTTATGTGCCTTCGTATATCCCCTCGTGTATGACATGTTTTAGTTTCGCCATAACTCTTACAAGTGGGAACGATGTCCCGATGTCATTCTAGGGCTGGTTTCACTGCAGGAGGTTCCTGTGACCTTATATCCCCACATATATGACATGGTTTAGTTTTTCAGGTTCACAATACTTCTGACAAGAGAAAAAGACATACTGATGTCATTCGAGGCCTGGTTTTAATGTAGGAACCCAATCTGTAACCTGTTATCCCCACGTATATGAAAATTTAAAAAGATTCCTTTTACAGGTTCACCATTACTCTTCCAAGTGGAAACGACGTCCCGATGCCATTCGAGGGCTGGTTTCACTGCAGGAGGTCCCTGTGACCTTATATCCCCACATATATGACATGGTTTAGTTTTTCAGGTTCACGATAATTCTGACAAGAGAAAAAGACATACTGATGTCATTCGAGGCCTGGTTTCATGATAAGAAAGGCATACTTTGGATAAGTCGAACAGTCTTTGTCAGCAGTCGGATGAACAGTAAATGGTCAAGACAAATGGCATCCAAGCACTTTCCTTTCCAACAGTTAAGCTATTTCTCCATGACTGTGGAAAGATCCCCAAACAAATATATTGTGAGTACTCGGTATTAAAACGTCCGGTAGCCGTGTCCGGTTGGGTGTACTCGTGCTGTGCCCTTAAACCCACAATGGTCTCAAGTCCACAATGAACATGAATAATCATTAGTGGGCGGAGCTTATGTGACCACGTCACACGTGTTTCGTACGCACTACTTCTCACTTAAGACCATTATGGGGTTAAGGGCAGCACATACGTGGTCGTTGAAATATAAAGCTACAGAAAAACATTTCATAATAAATGAAATATTCTCTACTTAAAGAGTCTATTGTACGATATATATTTCGCATGTCATTATACGTGACAAATACGCGAGTGTATCCTTCCAAATGGGTAGAATATGTCACAAACACACGCAAAGGCGCGAAAAGAAACTCCACAAAATTGTGTTTTTGGTTTTTAACCCTACACTCGGCCATATTCCCGCTATGGCGGCGGTCTGTAAATAACTGAATCTGTACCAGAAAACCCAGTGATCAACATCATGCGCATCGATCTACGCAATTGGGATCCCGTAAGCATGGGTTACTGGAGACCAATTCTAACCCGGATCTCACGGGTACTCCACTGAAACATAACTTCGAAGTCAAAATAAGATTTAGGTCACACATTTGGAAACACTTGTACCATATTCACTACTTAAAGCTTTCTTCAGGCTTTGAAAGTCGTAACGCGGATAAAGTAACGTTTGGGAAAGAGTAGTATGAAACTCTTTGAATTCCAGCTACAGGAGTGTGTGTGAGTGTGTGTGTGTGCGTGCGTGCGTGTGTGCGTGTGTGTGTGTGTGTGCGTGCGTGCGTGTGTGTTGGCCTGGAGGTGTGTCCTCCGCCATGATATTTCTGGGATAATGCTCAGTGGTGTAGAACTATACTCCAGTTACATGGCGGCTGCATGTAAAAAATAACAATTAATACTAATATTAATCACCGGTTTGCCTGGTCCAGAGGCGATTCGTTCTTGGCCACCGTCACACAGCGATGGACAGGCCACCGATTGTACTTCTTTTCGTTACGCTTTTATTATTGGTTGGAGACGTTTACGCCTCTTAATCAGGCTTCATTTGTCTCTCAGGTGAAATTTCTCTCTATATATACACTTGGATTATTCAAAATGAACTTTAAGCCAATGATACTTAGTCTTTTGTATTTTGGCAATTCCAAATGACCAATGAACATAGCTGTAGCAAATTAGGTGCCACGTGATCATGTGGGCAATCCGAAATCATTGTCCCGTTTCCATGCGGAAACTGAGTTTTCTATAAATCTATAATTGAAACACATTCTGTGTTATTACTGATCAAAACATTTATAAACTGATACACTTTCAAATCCAAACAATTTTCCATGTAATAGAGCACGCTTGTACTATACGCTTGTACGCTTGTTCAGTGCATAATTTCGAATTGCAGAATCTGAAGATCCATCCCATTTTAGTCACACCCATTAGCTTTTCCTGGAATTAGATTCTAGCGAAGGACTGGTTTCCTACAATCGGTTCGAGAGGCGTGTTCAGTAACAGTACCGCGAGTGCTAAGCGCTGAGCATACATGTTATACCGCCTTAGCAATCACTGTGCGAACCCACGCGCGCTTATAGACGCTGGCCCGGCAGTGGCACTATATAGGACCATGTTTCTTCCGTCAGTCACTAGTAATTCATTTCCAGACATGGTTAGACATGACAAAGACCTTTGATCAGTCATGCCCTGGAGATGAGAGTACCGCATTTGCGATGCGAGTACCGCATTTGGGGCAGGACTGGTGAAACTCTCAGGAGTCAAGCAGCTAAATACCCACCCAAGAACTCTCCGCGCCCAAAGTTGCATTACTTCTACTGATTTGTGATCTGAATTCTATGGTTAGACATGACAAATACCTTTGATCAGTCATACACTGGAGATGAGAGTACCGCATTTGCGATGCGAGCACCGATCTCTATGAGAAGCAAGCCTCTAATAGACGGGGGATTGGTCATAATGATGCTCTTGACATCAACATCATCACCCAAATCATCTCGCGTTCTTCTCACTAAATTTCTTAATTTACTAAAGTGCCTCCAACGTTGCCTTTTCAAATGCTTTTCTTTTTCTTATTGCTTTATAGATTGAGGTTCAGGGGGTATCAGGGTCGTACGTTTGGCGGTATCAGGACAAGAGCCGCCGTTTGAGTCCCGGGGGCATATCATTCACTGGTCTCCACATCTTCTCGCTCCAAGTAGCCTGACGTCTGCAATGTCAAGGACGGTTCAGGAGGTATTCGCAGCACCTAAAGACTCCCATTGGTTTAACCTGGTCACGTGATGGTTTGAGTCTTTCTGCACAAGATCTATGAATTATCAATAAATTATTTTGAAATAAACGCTTTCAGTTTTCATGGGAAAGGAAACACAATGGAGCCCAAAGTGGCGAAGGTGGTGTTTCCACTCGGTATCTAATCCAAGGAACAGCCATCCTTCTAGAATTATTTGCTCTGAGTTTCACTTTACCCTGTGTCTGTCAATAATAAAGGGAGAGAACTCTGTATGACACTTCCTGTTACCCTCACTCGATTTTTTACGAGTATTTTAGTAATTAGCTGTCAATCACTACAATTAAAACCTACAACAAGTTCTGACACAAAACACTACTTTGAACAATATAAGCTTTCACTGTAATAAAAACGTTGTTCCATCCATATAGTATTATCATTCCTTACTGCTCCAACTTCTAAATGCCTCTCAAAGAATTACCAATCTCAAAAAACATGGATGAACGAGTCTTCAAATCCCAATTGCGTCGATCGATGCTCATGCTGTGGATCACTGTATTGACTGAACCAGACTCCACTATTAACAGACTGCCGTCATATAAACTGAGGTATAAATAAGAAAGTACACAAGTGATGTTTATTTTATATTTATTTATTCTATTTTTAGTGGAGGAGTGGGGTCCAAAACAGTGTAAATATTATACAAGTGAAATGGTACATGCAACCAACCTTGAACATGCACAGTCACTGGCAAACACAAACACGCACACACACGCACCCATACACGCGCGTGCAGGGTCTTTACTCTTTACATAACTGCATTACTCATGTACGCGCTATTACATCCCTCATCTCCATGACATGCAGGTTTGTCCGTTAATTACAACAAGGATATTTTGTAACTAATATTTATTATCATTTTAAATATTTTTATATAGAAATAAGAACCTCCTGTTCATTAATCCCGACATAGATCCAAGTGTACAACTTGCGGAACTCCACAAGATGTCGGTTGTATTTCAGACTGTTCAGACCATCCACCTCGACCCTTGCCTTCCACGTCTTCAGATAGGAATACCTGCAGTTGTAGCAAAGTGTGTAATAATACATGTGTTGCTGTTTAAACTAATTTAATTTGACTTAACATTTCTACATGACTGCGATAGTGATCACACCCCTCAAAATCAGATTTTTACACCGATATATCTCTGGGTGAACACCTCAAGACACAACCACAGAAAAGCGTCCTGATCAGACAATCATCTAGGCTTCTAAAGTCTCCTTACGAGTTCAGACCGGCATATCTGAATTTCGTATCTCGACAACGAACTGAGATCCGAAAGAAGAAACTATAAGACGTTATGATATTGTTAAGTGTAATTCACACACCTTGACCTTTCTGAGCGCCTTTGAAGCTACACCATAGCGGAAGTAGCATCGAAGGTAACTCAATATGGGCAGTCTTTTAACCGAAAGAATTTGGCGAGGAAATGAAGAAAGAACATTTGGGGTAGCTGACAGCTTACTATAATTTAATAATTAGTCCATTAATATTGGGCTAAATCCACACCGCCACCATGCTCATAGTGCAGGATTATTATTACCCCGGATAACCATAGCAGCCTGTGAGGCGCTAGAAGGTTAATAGTCACATGACTTATCCCACCGGGTACCCATTTTCTGAAATTTCGGGCAATTTTTTTACAAACCCACTTGCCTAAGGTGAGACCACATGTGCATCATTGTGGCACAGGACTGAAGTTCTAGAAACTCTCAGGAGTCAAGCTGCCAAACACGGTCACCCATCCAAGAACTCTCCACGCCCAAAGCTGCTTTGTTTCAACTGATTTGTGACCTGAGCTCTATGTACAGCACCACACACCATCAATTACTTTAACATCGATAAGCCTCCCGTTAGACTGAATGGTGGAACGTCTCTGAAGATTTACCTGACACAACTTTATCTTGAATGTTTCCTCAAATCCTACTGCAGATAGGTATTGTATCGGAGCAAAACATTGATTTGTTTGACACTAAATGAGATTATTTACGCGGCATTAAAAAAATCTGACATACGTTTTACATGCCAATATAACATTTATATGTAAAAGGTACATGCAGTTTCTCTTATCATTAAAAATTCAAAATTCTTATTGAACAATACAAGCTATGATTTATGACATTGTCAAGCTCTTTGTGCTTTCCGAAGCACGTCTTCAAAAATAAATAAAAATTCCCAGACCAGCTGCAAGTTGCCATCACATCCTATTTGCCCTTTTCCCAACCCTTACTCTGACGCACAAGGCCCCAATGAAGAAAGGCTGCAATTTGTTAAGGTTCAGAACACCCATTTACCCATTTAATGTAAATTAAATTGTATGTTAATATATTTTTCCTTTTCCTAGGAATTAGTCCGATTGCACAGTCGTCTAAGCAGTCGCAACACGCTGTTCTCCATTCGTAACTACTCGTGTCATTCCGGCAAGCCGGATGGCGTCTCGTACCCCTCTCGTGGCCATGTTTACGACTGGGCTCTGTCTAAGCGCAAACGGACATGGAGATGAAAATAGTCAAGTACTATTACAAAGGAAAGATAACTGTGAATTTCCAAACATGGCTAATAGAATATCCTATATCCGTGGGCAAAACAGCAATACAGTCATCCCCTTTGTAAATATGTTTCAGTGTTTAAAGTTTCTAATCCTTTAGCTCAAAGTATATGTTTAAACTGTGCTTTGCATAGTTTAGCGAAGTTTCAAAGTTCAACGGTGCCGCCATTTTCATGTTCGACTTCATTGGTTTGCCACGATTCTTGGCAATAATGGCGTACGATAGGGATACGAGTCACGGAAAGAGGCGAGTAGTTACGAATGCGATGTTCTCATTCGTGACCAACTCGTGTTACGGAAAGGGGCGAATGGTGACGAATGCGGTGTTCTGTGACATGCGACAGCGTCACTGTAGGCTTTAGTAGGTGAGTATGGTTTTACGCCGCTTTTAGCAATATTCCAGCAATATCACGGCGGGGGACACCAGAAATGGGCTTCACACATTGTACACATGTTGGAAATCGAACCCGGGTCTTCAGCGTGACGAGCGGACGCTTTAACCATTAGGCTACCCTACCGCCCCCACTGTAGACTTTAAGCTGACTCTCTTGTTAACTGAAATTGTGAGAAAAGAGGGTTTAAACCTCCCTTCTGTATACTTTACAGAATAACGCCTACCTTGAGTTTTGCGCTACGCTCTTGTGATGTTTCAAATCCCCGTATCGTGAGATTTTCATCGGATATCGTTCTATGTCCATATTGTGGTACCTCACTCTGAAATACACGGTATAATGCAATAGAAACGTTAAAGACGCGGGATATTGACAACTACCGCCAGTTATTGCTGTGGTAACGAAGGAGGGTTACTTCTTTCATAAATATTCCAAATGATCACATCACAAAAACGATTTATTTCATATTGTTACCAAGAGTTTATGGGCTTTCCTTTTCACTTACGTGTCACAAATCACATATACTTGACAAAATAATTTAGGGATATTGGTATTTTTATGATTGATATTTTATCAATGTGTCAATGAATAAATACATTATTATTCATAATTTCAAAATTTACATATATCCCTAACTATTTTTGTCCAGTATATTTTGCTCATAATAGCAAGGTATGTTAAAGATCTTAAATGTAACATCTTCTACTAATCTGTCTTTATCCATTAATTTTCTCTGGATCTGCTTCCTTCTCCAGTGTGCCTTCTGTGTCTTTTCCATGCTGTCCATGATTGTAAAGCTATTATCGCCCATAAACTACCACAAAGAAATATGGGAAGACAGTGGTTTGTCGAAAGCCATATTCCGTTGTATGTTTTTAAATACATTTTAAACCGGTTTTCATCGTAGTATAATGATTATATTGATAGCGGCAGTAAATGAGTACCTTTTACTTTATTTTATTTTCATTTAATTATTTTTCCACATTCAAGTTTTGGTATTCTGTGGAATCGCAAATCATGGTTTTGAACGTCATTCAAGATCATATGACGTTCTAGGCAGATTACGGTACCTGTTGTAGAGGTCGTCGTCCTCGCCTCCCCAGCCGAAGTACATGTTAGAGTAACCGTTGACTTTCTTGAATAATTCTGTGGTGAAACTCACGACTCCGCCGAAGATATGTTGATATGGTAATCTGGGGAGATATGTTGCATTTAACGCTGCTACAGATTGAGAATAAAACGTGTAATGAGAAACTGTCTAACCAGTGGAAAACGACACTGATTACGATATATTTCTCAAGAAGAAATACATTTTGTTAACAGAACAGGACCCCATTGCTCAAAGCGATCTTCGTGCTAAGACCGTCTTCAGACTATGTTAGGGTATGGAAATTACGATCGACTTTGCGTTAAGATCTAACAAACACACGTCATCTGCCTTGATCGAGGATATATCACCGTACACGTAGTTCCAGCGGGCGAGGGCAGCGGCGTGGTGGCGGGGTTTGCTGCCACAGGTGTAGATGTTTAGATTACTCAAGGGGATCATATCGACGTCGTGGAAGAAATAGCAGTCAAACTTGCAGAGTTTCTCTCCCTCAATAACTCCTATGTTTCTGAGCATCCCTCTGTTCAGTCTGGACCCAGGGGCCTGTGAAGTACACATCAATGTTTGTTTGTTTGTTTGTTTGTTGTTGTTTATCGTCGCAGACAATCAAGGTCATAGCATCATGAGTATCGGAATATTTGTTTGTTTGTCGTTTAACGCCGCACACAGCGATATTCCATCTTTATGGTGGCGGTCTGATAATAATCGAGCATGGACCAGACAATCCAGTGATCAACTTCACGAAAACGGTCTATGCAATTGGGATACGTTGTGTCAACCAAGTCAACGAACCTGACCACCCGACCCCGTCAGTCGCTTCTTACAACAAGTATGGGTTTGAGCATCGATCTACCCAAATGGATTACGACATGCTTCAACCAAGTCAGCAAGCCTGATCCATGACCAACCGATACCGTTAGTCGCCTCTTACGACAGGTATTGGTTGTTGGAGAGACTTTCTAACGCTGACATATGTACGTCAGCAGTTCGATACGTGTACATCTCATTTATGTACCCAAGAGGGTACCGATGGCCGACTCCCCATGCTGAGTCATAGTGATTTCAAACGCAGCCTCACCTGTTCAACAACAATTATCATATACTCGATCCTCTGCTTCTTTAAAAAAGGGTGAATATTGTTAAGGAATACTTTCAAGTGAAGACTCCTTTCCCTGAAAGGAACAATGATCCCAACCCTCTGTGACGAGGTACAGTCTCTAGGACGGTACAGTCCCCCTGGGTCAAGGTCAGCTCCGTGCAGTTTCTCCAACATCTCCAGGCTGCGACTGGCCAAGTCCACCTTGACCTTGGCATATCCTGGAACACAAGGAACACATCACCATCACCATCACCATCACCATCACCATCACCATCACCATCACCACCACCATCACCATCACCACCACCATCACCACCACCACCACCACCATCACCACCAAAAGCACTGGTGAAACTTGTTTCGTTGTCCAAAAGAGTTGGGGGGGGGGGGGAGTGGTACCATTCAGTTCGGATAAGCTCGGTTAGTGAATGCTTGAGAACGAGTCGATAGACGAACGAACTCGGGAGTGATGTCATATCTCGTCGCGTCTCGCGAGAATACTAATTCAAAATGGCGACACATAAGAGGAACACCTGTAGTTACAGTAAAATATTCTACATTACATCATCACCTTGGCTTTTCCTAAACATCAAATACTAGTATCCCAATCTTTAATGAAAACGACACTGCACATTTCAACTTTGCCCAGGTTCCTACCTCGTTTCTGTCTGATCACTTGACACCACGGTCCAGTAAAGTTTCTGGTGATACACGAGGGTCGCACTCCGACATACATATCACAGTTGGTGCAACAGTCCCGCGTCCCACGCTTTGTTTCCGTAGTTGTTTCCACTACAGTGTTGTTACAGGTCCCGGACTGTAAGCTCTTGTTCCTCTCCTGGATGTGACATCGTCTCTGTTGCAAGTGAAGAACCTGTGGATGGAACTCTGTAAGGGACATTGTCGCCTTTCTGTTTTCAGTAATTCGAGGTTCGGTAAATCGTCATGATGTAAAAGTACGAACACGACAGAATGGAACATGGTTTAAAGTGTCTCGATTTCGAATTCTGTTTTTCAAAAGATATTTTATAATGACAGAAATAACAAATCAAACGCAAACGCTAAATAGACCCTTACAAGTCTTCGTACCTGGGTATGCTGCAATACAAAATAACAAAACACAACCGTGGTAGCTGTCAGTATCACAAACCCTGTCCTCGCTCTGCCCAGCATCTCACAACTGAAACACCAGCGTTTACACGTGACCTTTACTTAAGTGTATAGTCGGGAGTAATTGCTGTAATTAACTGCTGCAGTAATAGTGTTGGTACTAATACCCCCGGTCGCATAACAAGTGGGATCGTATTAATGAAATTCAGCTGCAGTGAACCCACGTTAATATTACCAATAATGAACCAGCGTTTTTCGCTGTTTGTTGTTTATTGTGTGTCAACCAAGTCAGCGACCATGACCAACCTATCCCGTTAGTCGCCTCTTACGATAAGTATCGGGTGATGAAGACCACTTCCAATCTTCACGGTCCTAATGATCAAATGAAATCGGTCCAATTTTTACACGATCACCAAGTGAGTTACTGGGTATGGATTAACGACATCCGGATAAACTGGGTTTCACTGTATGTGACGCATAACGCCAGCGAGGGATCCGAGAGAGAGTGAGTAAGTGAGTACAGTTTACGCCACACTCAACAATATTCCAGCTATAAGGCGTCGGTCTGTAAATATTCGGGTCTGGACTAGACAATCCAGTGATCAACAGCATGAGCATCGATCTACGCAATTGGGAACCCATGACATGTTTCAACCAAGTCAGTGAGCCTGACCATCCGACCCCGTTAGCCCCCGAGATGAGAGCGCGTCATCGAGACATACATTTTAGGCGTGTAGAAAAAGACATATGATCAGGACATAAATAATTTATCTTTTCAATATATACGCCGACTGCTGTATTTGTTTACCACGCTTAAACTGATAACGTATTTTATAAATCCACCTGACATTAAAGGGAGACCAATCCACTTAACGTATGTACTCGCAATTGGTCCAAGTCGCCCTAAAGCTATATCACCACCAGCCCTATCGCAAGTCTTCAGCGTGACGAGCGAACGCTTTCCCGACTAGGCTAACCCTACGTCCCAACTAAGTAGTGGTGAGGCACAGATTGCGATTTACGTGGTGCGGCGTCAAACAACATTGACTCACAAACCTTAGTGACCACACCCTGCAACAGCTTCGCCCATTTCCAAGACGCTTTGTCCCGGCAATACGCGAATGGTTGGTTTGGTTTGGTTTGGTGACAGTACGATCACGCAAATGTAATACCCGGATGTACCGATCTTGGGCTGCAGTGGTGACTCGAGGTCTGCCGGTACGGGGACGGTCATTTGTTATACCTGTTTGGTTGTAACGAGCTGCAAGCCGTGATATCGTGGTCAGACTAACATTCAGACGCCTGGCAACAGAAGCTTGGTAATCTCCAGCGTGCATTCTTTCAATGGGAATGTTCCTTGTAGCAGCGTCAAGACTTGGCGAAGTGATTTGAGCTTGAAACTCCTTCAAAACGGATGCCGATTTCCGAAAGTAATCTGGATTGATATAGCCAGACAGTGCATGCTCTTTGCTGCACAATTACAACTGGAAGGTGATTTCTGTTGCGTTGTGGCGATGATCGCCTTTTTAATCCTTGTAAGAAATCTCATGAAAATCAACATTTTCAGGTAAAGTCGACTTTTCACTTGTGCAGTTGTGTAAAATCATGTTATCAACACTATTGTTACATATTTTGACGATTGTTTGAACACAACAGGTAATTAATAAAATAGAAAACGCATATGCGTTTCATTTTTTGGATAGTATATATGGAATAACCTCTGCTTCGTGTTACGGATTAAAAACCTTAAGTAACCACTTCCATTTCTGAAACATAAGACCGCCTCCGTGGTGTAGTGGTTAGAGTGTCCGCCCGGAGAGCGGAAGGTCGCGGGTTCGATCCCCGACCGCCTCATACCAAAAGACGTTAAACAATGGTACTTGTTGGTCCCTGCCTGGCGCTCGGCATTAATGGGTACAACAATCACTGGTCGGCTCGGAGTCAGTATAATGTTTCTGATTGGGGTATTCATGCTTCACTGCGGCATGGTATCTCAGTGGGCTAGCACTATAAAACCAGCTTCAGTCTGGGCTAGTACAAGCAGCCGCACATACACATACACACGCATGCACGTCGTCATATGAGCGAAATATTCTCAAGCACGACGTAAAACCCATTTTCACCTCACCTCTGAAACATAAAGTACTCATTCATTAAAAAAGCAGTAGGTTAAGATGACAGAGCGTTAAAATGATTTAAAATAACAGAACTAAATCTGTCTAAGCCATTTGAGAGCCTGTCCAGATTGCATCATATTTTCCTGATGACGAGACAAAATCTAAAACTGCCCGTTGCAAGGACCCGTACATGATATTGGGGCCCAAAACCGTTTCTAAAGAAAATATACCATCAACCTCAAGTACAGCAGTTCTGAGATTGTGTCTTATGTTGTTATGCCTAGGGCATGTAATTAGATCATGTTCAATATTTTCAGGCGTCTCCAAATTGCAATGGCCACAATTAGAAGAGACCGTCTTATCTATAATACTCCTGTAAGCATTTAGTCCACTGTGTCCAAGTTTGAGACGTGACAGAATGACCTCATCACGCCTTTTACGACGAAGAATTTTAAGAGTTTAAGATAGTCTAAGTTTGTACATGTCGGCCGGTAGTACCTGTATCTCACAAGTGTTGCCAACTCCTTGTATGTAACAGATCGCGAATGGTTGATGTTTATGAAGAGTTATTTCCCTTTGACTATCACCACTTTGAAACGCTGTCTTTGTTTGGACGACATGTCTTAACACAAGCTACAACATTTACTACAAAACCCGCTGAGGACCACCTGTGTGTTTGTTATTTTTATATTACTAAAGTTAATCTGCTACACCATTGAGATCTATACTTGGCATGATTGCATGGTTGAGTGAGTGAGTATGGTTTTACGCCGCTTTTAGCAATATTCCAGCAATATCACGGCGGGGGACACCAGAAATGGGATTCACACATTGAACCCATGTGGAAAATCGAACCCGGGTGTTCGTCGTGACGAGTGAACGCCTTAACCGTTAGGCTACCCCATCGCCCTTGAATGGTTGAGAATTGTGAGATGCACTCTTGTCTGCAGCATGTTTGTTTGTCTAGACAAACCAGTTCTATTTCAATGTCAAGTGTTCTCGTCACGATATGGCTGAAATATTGCCGATGTGACGTTAAATAATAACTCAGTCACTCACTCACTAGACAAACCAGTGGTTGACATCATGACCAACTTCCTAGGCCGATGGGGCAGGATGACCTCCAGTCAACCACAATACCGAGTATACCAACAAAATACCATCCCAACTACCCGTGAAGATCCGGGGTTTGAATTGGTCTTCAGCAACCCATGCTTGTCGAAAGAGGTGACTAACGGGATCGCGTGGTCAGGCTCGCTGACTTGGTAGACACATGTCACCGTATCCCAATTGCGTAGATCGATGCTCACAATGTCAATCACTGGATTGTCTGGTCCAGAGTTCAATATTTACAGACTGCCGCCCTATATCTTGAATATTCGTGTTTACAAACAAAATTATGACAAGCTGAAATTTCCGGGTGCTTATTTTTAGGTTAAGTAAACTGGCATTGGAAGTATGAAAATGATGAGGGCTGAGGTTTGTATTTGTGTGCACATCCTTTCGTATAATAAACCGATCTCATATATACATTTGTAATTTATTTTTATATTATTATGGGATATTTATATAACGCACATATCCACGCAACTAGTACATGCTCAAGGCGCTGATATTTTTCCCCTCGATCATTGGATGTCAATCTCAACGGCACATCGCATTATTAATCTCAACTCCCCGGTGAACAACTTTTGCAGCCACTAAGCGCACCGAGTTTTTGCGGCTTTCTCATCCATACGAGGTACCCATTCACAGCTGGGACACATAGTCACAGTACTTTGTCCAAGTTTACTGCACGTTGCTGTACCCGCAACTAGGTGTTTGCACGTATTCATGTGGCCACCATCTGGTCATCTCCCAACGGATTCGTGGGTTCTTTTCAGCGCACAGGGTTGTGTACTGTACACTAGGGATTGTGACAACACTGAAAGAGTCTGAACACAAAGTTGACTCCAAGGTTTTTGCACCCGGTCACAGGTTGGCTCGATCCCGGCACCTCAAGCTGGCGTGATCACTAAAACCTGTCGCCTTAGACAGCTCGCCAACCATGCCCCAAAAGGTATAGGTGACCGTTTTTCATAACAATAGACACATGCCAACACTATGACTAAGTCACTTCATGAATCAGATATATTTTCAACAAATTTACACAGTAAAATTAATTTGCTAAATAATAAGTGCATAAATACCACAGTGAATACACAGTGAATACACAACACAACTCATTTTCAACTCTTTAATTTTTTAAACAATTCTTCGAAGTACAATGTGTGAAAAAAAAACGTCGAGAAAATAACAACAAATATATATGTAAACACGAAAATACTGCTTCGGTAAAACACGATAATACTTATATGACGTGCAAATAATCATCGGTGTGTTAAACACACAATCCTGATACAGTATATGCCTTACATAGAATAATCAGCAATGAATCAACCAAAAACCGAGTCCAAATAAGCCTCGGCTTAACCTGATAGAAGCATGACCCCAAAGTTAACCTAACCCAGAATTCATCAGACCAGGAGCGTGCTGACATAAAACAGTAAGAAAAAGCTTCACCAGTGTGACCTATTAATACCAACAACCCACCACACACACCACACACGCCCAAACCTACCCCACCCATCGCCATACCTAACCCAGAATAAACCTTACGCGTAACCGCCTATTACTGAAATTGCTTAAATGACCCAGAATCTTTCAATGCCTTTGCTCCCAACCCAAACTTCGCACAGAATCCCTCAATTATAGAGCACACAGACATCCCCCAAGAATGTGCCTGACCCAGAATTTATCCAAAGCCAGAATACACTTGACCCAGAATTTATCCAAAGCCAGAATATACTTGACCCAGAATTTATCCAAAGCCAGAATACATTTGACCCTGAATTTATCCAAAGCCAGAATATACTTGACCCAGAATATATCCAAAGCCAGAATATACTTGACCCAGAATTTCCTCCGACCCAATACATGCCTTGCCTAGAAACCCAAACTCCGCATTAACATGACCAGAACCATCGTAGAAAGAAACTATTTCGACATGCCTACCACAGATTAATATCGCCCTCAATTAGCCAACTGGCCTGACCTTCAATGAGCCTAGACATAACTTGCATGAACCTCATTTAGCTTAATATAAAATTAGCCTGACCCCCAATTAGCATAACGTAGAATAAGCCTCCTACACATTTAATCTGACATGGACCCTGTATGTACTTTACTCTTAATCAATTTCAAAGTTTCGTTGGTTTACGTATATTGCATTTATGAACTGAAACACACCATCGTCCACAAATGGACGTCAAGTGACTGATTCTGTACCAGAAACATTGATCGAGCATAGCAGTCCATGTAGTTTAGAAGCACACTTCAATCACTCACCCTTCTGTCTCTCATGATTTTATAAAAACATATCCCCTGTATTCAGAGAATATTTACATCATAACATTACGACACTCAACGCCACATAATTGGATGAAACACGTCATATCAAACCATTCTTTAGGAAACCATCCTTTTAACAGTTCCTGGCGAGGGGAAATGCATTCGTCCTTATAAACAGTTTCAGAAGACACGTTGATGATGTCATTTCTTACAGGTCGCCTTAATGGCGCCCTCGCTCGTCCACATGTTTTGTTGGTAATCTTTGTACAAAGCCAAGTTTTTCCACGAATAACTATTGATGTCCACATAACTCGTTTCACTCTTGTACCAGGCTCCCCGCTTCTTTGCACTGGACTCAGTATGTCGACCAAGGCGTTCCAGAATCCCTTTCAGACGACTTGTTGGGAGCTTGTTCTGGGCACTGGCAGCAATGGCCATCTGGTTTAGAGTGAGCGAGGTGTAACCTCCTGCCCTAGAGTGATGCGCAGACCGATGGGGGTGTGGAACCGGAACTGGATGCGGATCTGAAGATGTTGCCGGCTCCTTTGGTTCTGGGGATTGGTTGGCTTTGGTATCTGGATGACTCACCGTAGGCGCTGGTTCGGGGGAAGGATTGGTGTCCGAGAACGGGTCAATTTCAGGAACCACTGGAACCTCGGTCTCAGGAGGCGTAGTCTCATCGCTTTTTAGCTAAACATTCTGGGGTGACGTTTCCGGGGCGTGCATCATTTGAATCTGGTTGGTTGTCTTCAGCGTTTGTTTTGTTACCTTCAGGTTCTGGTTTGATGTCTTCAGGAGCATTATCACCCCCGTCTCCTCTTTCGCTTCTTTCTCCGTTGGATTTGAAGGTTTTGTTTCATCTGACTCTTTCTCCACCTCTGTCGTATCTTTAGCATCACCATCTGTCACGGCTCCTTCTGGTACAGCTCCATCTGTTGCTGCGGGGACCTCCGGCTCGGGCTTAACTTCCTCATCCGGACCAGGGACTGTTTCAGATTTGGGTGCCTCATCAGCATCCATTGTTACACCAATGTATTCACAAACTAAACCTACAGGTAGCTGTACGATTAAATCACCTCCGTGGCCAAACAGGTGTCAGTACATGAAATTCACCACCACAGTATGCTCACGTTGTCGCTGAGGTATAAATCCACCATCCACAAAGTGTCTCAACACGAACCATTTACTGCCCTGAGTGAACAGGTTCCCTATATCACTGAAAGACTCTGGTGTTTTGTGTCTCCAATTCGATAGCAAAGTCGGTCTGCAGTCAAACACTATACCTACCAACCGATACGCTCCGCTTCCCAGCACACGGGAGTGTTAGCGACCCTTTGAATGTTATCGAAGTCATTTGATATGCACGACTTGAAATATCTATCGATAATTCTTCAGCTTAGGCTTGTCCCACGGCTGAGTAACCAGAACGGTCTCAGAAGCAGATACATCTGCCTAGACGCGTACATAGAACCGACCACTTCCTTATAGATGCATGTGTCCCAAAGGTTGCTATGTCCAAAATGGCGTACACATTTCTAAAATCATTTCATAATCAACAGCCTGAGAATCTAAGAAAAGAACACAACGTTGCGAGTATTAAGATAGTGTCTTTGTGGTTCATAAGATCTTAATAGGATCGAATTACCGGCGGAAATACGCCACGGCTACTGCAAGTCAAAAGTATCTTATCGTCAATTAGTTAAGCCACCCCACACTTAGTTACAGCTCGATCGACCTGCAACGTCATTTAACGTTGGATTTAACGCCAATACCTCGCGGCTTCTCATCTGGGTTTAAGGAAATTGATCCCATAAGAATCCATTACTGACTAAAGCATATAAACCCATATCAGCTCACAACGCATATCGTGCTTGAACGATTGATAAAGCTCCCGTGACATAATTAATAACCTGCTCCAGGCCTCCTGTGCGACCCGGCGTTACCGACGTTTAACTGATTGTATTGATATGAGTGTATTGAGGTTTAGTTCGTTGTTGGGTACACGGGAGATTAGCAATGCCTATGAAAACATGAGTGGCAGGGGTAGAGTCCAATTAATTCTCTGAAGTATTGATTGCGAGATATTTCATATCTTATTTTTGTTGGCGTAACCTAAATGGACCCACAGCCTTGACGTTAGCATGTGGCATAATGATATATGTAGCCGTGAAATTTACGAATACGTTTTGAGTGAGTGAGTGAGTTTAGTTTTACGCCGCACTCAGCAATATTCCAGCTTTATGGCGGCGGTCTGTAAATAATCGAGTCTGGACCAGACAATCCAGTGATCAACAGCATGGGTATCGATCTACACAACTGGGATACAATGACATGTGCCAACCACGTCAGCGAGCCTGACCACCCGGTCCCGTTAGTCGCCTCTTACAACAAGCGTGGATTACTGAAGGTCAATTCTAACCCGAATTCTCACGGGTCCTAGACGTAACGACTGGCCGTTGTTTTTGGTTAAAGACACTCCTGTTAAAACAAGGAGCGGTCGGGTAGCCGCTTGCTTGATCTGGTTGTGTGTACTTTTTTATTCCCTGAATACAAAAGAAAACAGAATAAAACATTTTTAAGACATGTTTTTTGTTCTTTTCCATATGCAGATTTTCAATAGCCACTCATAAACAGGCAACATGAAGCAGAATCAAAATCGCATATATTTTTTCGGATGAAGATATGTACCAAGTCAGCGAGCCTGACTACCCGATCCCGTTAGACGCCGCTTACGACAAGAATGGGTTACTTAAGATCCATTCTAACCCAGATCCTCAGGGGTCACGTACGTATGAACGCACGCACGTACGCATGCACGCACTGATGTTGTACCGCTGGCGGCATGTGTTTGGTACCAACTGATGCTGAAGTGAAAAAGGTGTAAATTATGTGTAAATGTCGACTTATAAATCTGTAATGAATAATGGTTTTATAAAACAGCATAGTACATTATATATGTTATACAGTAACACCTAAAGCCGTGATCCCCTTGAAATAGTACAGTTCTTTTACGCCGCACAAAGCAATATCCCAGCTATATGACGGTGGGGTAAACAATTCGAGTCTGGAATAGACAATCCAGTGATTGACATATGAGCATCGATACGATGACATGCGTCACTACGCCTGACAAACTTACAAGCATGGGTTGCTGAAGACCAACACAGCAAAAATAACTTAGTTTCCGTTCTTTAGGAAACTTAATGGATACTGGGTAATGTAGGTTTCCGCTAGGTTTCAGTATCCGGAAACAGACAATGAGAGTTTACAAAACTGAAACTAACAAGTCTAGGTTTCCGTCATGTTTCTACAACTGAAACTGTCATTTTAGGGTTTTTTTCAGTTCGCTGAAACATTCATCCGTTACTGCGGAAACTCAATGTAAAACAATGGAAACTCACTGGATTCTAGTTGGAAACTAAAGTTTCAATCCACTTACCATCAGGTTTCCGCATTGCGGAAACCAAGTTATTTTTGCTGTGCAATTCTAACCCAGATCTTCATGTGTGTCTTCTGTACTGAAACCAACTAGCGTGGGCATGGTCCTCACAATCTAAGTATCATAAGCAAGTCGAATTGAGATTATTAATATTATAATATTTGTTGAGCGCTATAGACTCCATGCACTAATGCATGCTCAAAACGCTTCAAATTTCTGAACGTGCACGTGCAGGTTCACCCTGTGCACGACAATGGATGCCAAATCCTTCAACGAAGTAGACACCAACATCGCCAACAACTGCATTACAGCAGATGTGTTAATAGCTGTTATGTCGTTTAATGATAAACAGCGATGTATTATCGTGTTGTTTGTGACCCACGCCCAGTGTGTATACGCCACCACGTGGTAACTGGAAGGTAACAGTTTAACGTATTTATATTAAGTTAACTTTATCTCATTACATTGTGTAACGCGGCAGAAATATTTTAATATCACCGCTGTCGGTTACACGGCAACGTGTGTGCATAGCGTTGTCGTATTGTACTACATTCTAAATATGTAGTTATTAGGGTCACAGGTGTCATTTCTGTGTCCCCACATGGGTACAATGTCTGAAGCCCGTTTCTTGTGTCCCCCGCCGTGATATTGCTGGAATATTGCTAAAAGCAGCGCAAACCATGTTCATTCACTCTCCATGAGCCTACTCCTTTGGGTATCTGGGCCGAAATGGTGTCCCGCATCCCTTGATTGTCGTAGGGCGGCGAGGTAGCCTAATGGTTAAAGTGTCCGCTATTCACGCTGAAGAACTCACTCACTCACTCACTCACTCACTCACTCACTCATCATGAAGTCGTTGCAGGGATAGGATGGATGTCGCCCACGGTGTTGTGTGGGTGTTGATGCGGTCATTTTTGAGTGAATGTGATGGATGTCGTCCACGACTCACTCACTCTGATGATGGTGTTGTGTAGGTGTTGATGAGGTCGTTGCGGGGATGGGATTGATGTTTTCCACTCATTCACTCACTCACTCACTCACTCATTCACTCACTCATTCACTCACTCACTCACTCACTTGATGTGCGCTACTTAATTCCCAGTGCCCTCTAAGGCCCACCTTGCCTCTCTGCCAAGTGTCCATGCTGTACGTCACACCCCGCCACCTACACGGGGGCTAGGAAGCCCTGTACTACCCAGACATCTGGCTTGTTTGTACAGATAAGCCAGACAGAGATGTTTGTGTTGGCCAAACATCACCCTGCGAGTGTCTGTGTGTGTTCTGACTTGTTGATGTATGTCTTACGTACATTGTACCTTTGTCACGCTGACAGCTATGCGCATATAAAAGTTACATCACTTATCGCGATAGTGACTCACCGAGAAATGCAGTTCCTAGAAAGTGGGAGAGGCATCAGTGAAGCATCTTCCTGGTGTGATATTTGCTGTTTTTGTGTGTTGTGCTCGGGATTAATAAAGATACATTATTTATCATGCAGATGTCTTACACATTTCTTTACACAATGCAGAATGCACGGGTTAAGATAGTGTATTGTATAGGGACAAAGAAATTTTAGAAAAATACAATAGCACCGAAGAATTTGACCCAGTTGGTACATAGAGCCCGCCCCTCATGCTCAAAGTTATCTTAGTGCTAGGCCCACCTTTGATTAACAGGACACAGCAATCATAGCGCAGTTAGGCCCTGTTTGACCTACGGCAGGACACCCAGTTGACCAAGATGTTATGTGGGTGTTGAAGAGGTTGTTGTGGGGATGTGATGGTTGTCACCCAGGGTGGTCGTTGCAGGGATGTGGTTGTGTCAGCCACGGTATAGGTGTTGATGTGGTCGTTGGGGGATGTGATGGTTGTCGTCCACGGTGTTGATGTGGTCGTGCGGGGATGTGATGGTTGTCACCCACGGTGTTGTGTAGGCGTTGATGTGGTCGTTGCGGGGATGTGATGGTTGTCGTCCACGGTGTTGTGTAGGTGTTGATGTGGTCGTTGCGGGGATGTGATGGTTGTCGTCCACGGTGTTGTGTAGGTGTTGATGAGGTCGTTGAGGGGATGTGATGGTTGTCGTCCACAGTGTTGTGTAGGTGTTGATGTGGTCGTTGCGTGGATGTGGGGTATGTGGTCGTTGCGGGGTGATGTGTGTGATGGTTGTCGTCCACGGTGTTGTGTAGGTATTGAAGAGGTCGTTGAGGGGATGTGATGGTTGTCGTCCACGGTGTTGTGTAGGTGCTGATTCTCTGGTTACGGAAATGTTGTTGATTCTCTTTGTGTATCCTCCCAGACGTTACAAACGTTATTTTTCACACATCTTAAACCAACGTAGCATGGCATTGACTGCCCGGCTCTTGCCGAGCTGTTAGAAGTATTTATCGCAGAACAATACAACCTCTATCAACTCCATATTGCTGTGTACATATTTATAGATGTATATATTCATCACTACTATTGTAGAAAATCTATTATATCGATATACACTGATAAACAACTTTTATATAAATAGGCATCTTCGGTGTCATTGTCCACTTGCACAAAGTGATCTTAGCGCTAAGGTGATCGTAACTCCCATACCTTAACACTGGCTTATAACTGTCGTGGCGCTAAGTGATCGTAACTCCCATACCTTAATACTGGCTTATAACTGTCGTAGCGCTAAGTGATCGTAACTCCCATACCTTAACACTGGCTTATAACTGTCGTAGCGCTAAGTGATCGTAACTCCAATACCTTAACACTGGCTTATAACTGTCGTGGCGCTAAGTGATCGTAACTCCCATACCTTAACACTGGCTTATAACTGTCTTGGCGCTAAGTGATCGTAACTCCAATACCTTAACACTGGCTTATAACTGTCGTGGCGTTAAGTGATCGTAACTTCAATACCTTAACACTGGCGTTTAACTGTTGTGGCGCTAATTGATCGTAACTCCCATACCTTAACACTGGCTTATAAATGTCGTAGCGCAAAGACCCGTGGCGTCGTGCAAGAGTATCCACATACTGCATTGATGTCTTTGGTCTTTCAGGCGACTGAAGCCATATTCCAGATCTCCGTGGAAAGTGAGTCAGCGAGTGAGTGGCGGATTATAGACGACTTGAGGCACTGCATCCATATGTCGCACGTACTTCGTGTAGAGGTGAGTGAGTGAGTTTAGTTTTACGCCGCTTTTAGCAATATTCCAGCAATATCACGTCAGGGGACACCAGAAATGGGCTTCACACGTGATTGTATCTTATTTGGGGATTCGAACGCGGGTCTTCGGCGTGACGAATGAACACTTTAACCACTAGGCTACCCCGCCTCCCCCTCTATGGAAAGAGTTCCAGTTACGTGGTGCTGCACCAAACTCGAGTTGTGCAAGTTTTTCCATGTCTGTTACGACTGTAGCCGATAAACTAGCCTTTCTTCTTTCTAATACGCATTTTGTTTTACTTACTCGTATGTCCAAGTATTCAAGAATGTGCCAGTTGTGTTTCATGCCGATTTGGGCAATATTCCAGCAATATCAGGGCGGGGTACACCAGAAATGGGCTTCACGTGTTGTACCCCTCTGGTGGATCGAATCCCGGCATTCGGCTGGACGAGCGAGGCTTTTAGCCACAAGGCTTAACCGCCGCCTATAGATAAGTATGACAAATATGAGTAAACCCAGACAGTGTTTCCAAATTAACGAGAACATCTGAACAACAGTGACCCAACAATATATTTACCATATTATGCCATGTGACGTCTTTTGCTAATCCATTCCTAAGAATCTGTTTGTGTTAAACGTGAAGGTTCAAAATCTTGATCACGTAACAGCATAAGCTAAAATTAATTAATTAAAAATCCATATAGAAAATGAATATCACTTTGTAATAATTTGTAATGCTTATTCACCATTGAGGATTAAATATTTAGATAGCTATTATTATAAAAATCCAACATGTTTTAAATTCATAAATATTATGTCAACGCAATGTAAATCTACCCTATGTCAATTTATACTTTTTGCGTTAAAGCACAGAATGTCACTTAAATTTGTGTGATATGTATCATGTTAGTCCTACATTCATTATATGTTCTATAATTTGTATGTTTATTGGACTGTGGCCTTTAAAATCTTCATGAATAATTTTAATTTTTTTTTACATATGCTAAAATTGACCATTTCGATACATTACGGGCGCACACACATCATATTTAACCCTTTTGGCCCTGTAAATAAAAAAGGACCCTTTTCACTTCAAATGGTGAAACGAGTTTTATTTAAAACATTCTTAATCCCTTGAAGCAAAACTTCTGATTTCCCAGGTTTAATAACCCAGCTCATCTCAGAAGAAGCTTTAAATTAAAATTTTGGTTCCTTTGACAATGTAAGGTTCGTGATTGAATCATATCGTGTATAACGATTATCTTACCCCGGTAACCGTGATAACGACCGACATTTAAATCACTCTGAGGGTATACCTGTACAGTGTATTAAAGGCAAACAATGTTTATACAATGATACGACTGAAGCAGATTGATTTCAGCCCATTGCCAACCTTTTAACGCAGAAATACCGGTCAGTGGTGACACAGCTTGATAAATGACATGGTATCTCACGTTCACAAAACCCTCACCATTGAACATGATAAAACGTATTCGTTTAGGCGAAAAGACCTTAATTATCAGATTTTCATACCATAGTTTAAAATATGAGGGTGGAGGAATTTTTGTTACAATAAAATTTGAAACAGGCTGTTAGAATTAACTGATTGCGGTGTGATTTATGGACAGCATGGCTGTTTGGTAGGACTGTACAGCAAATACTGTCTCCATGTTAATAAATAATGTATTCATATATAGCGATATTCTTTCCATATACGTGTTGTATCTACATGGGGACAATACAAACTGTTATTGTCTTTTTGTTTGTTGCGTTACGCCACATTCAGCAAATTTTCAGATATATGACAGCAGTCTATATGTAATCGGGTATGGGCCAGACAATCCAGTGATTGTTAGGATTACCAACGATCAACGCAATTGGTTGATGGTTACATCAAGTCAGCGAGCCTGACCACTCGATCCCGTTAGCAACCTCTTACGAAAAGCATGTCTTGCTAAAGGCCAATTATTACCCCGATCTGAACAAAATCGAAGAATTTACCTATAATGGCCTTATGTACCTACTGCCTACTGCATTGTTAAGAGTGATTCCATATCTATTGTAAAAGGAAGTACCTAGCCACTCAATGTATTTATCAGTAATAAACGCCGCGTGAAGTACTTTTTCCGCTGTTTGGAGTGGAATGTAATTGGAATGCACCCTGGACAAGGACCCCAAAAGGGCGCCGTGCCAAACACAACCGTCGTTGCCAGGAACGTTGACTGCAGTTCATGTCTTCGTAATCGGAGGCAGAACTCCATACCTGACAAGCCGGATACAAAGAACTTTAAAGGCTTTGTTGCTCTGAACTATGAATACTCACCTGGAGAAGTTCAAACACTGATCTGAAACTGGCAACAAAGGCTGTTATTAACACGGTGCAGTGTTTGGTGTGAAACAGTACAACACAGATTGTGAACTAGGCATTAGCCAAAGCCACAGAGACTCTCATTTCAGCTTGAACCTTTCGAGGAATATGTTAAATATGAAATTCGGAATATGGATATTTCTGGTATTTTTTGTTGCTGTCCGGTGCCAGAGAGATCGTACCCGCGAGGTCGGTACCTATGGTTCTGATGTCGTCGAGGGAGTCGTCAGCGCACTGAGGGACGCGTGCATTTTCCCTGATGACATGCTGTTTCTCAGGCGTCTTGCGTACGTCGAGTCCAAAGACGGCACCAGCAACGAAACATACCGAAAGGGGTACGACGGGGGGATATGGCAGGTAGGTGAAGGTTATTACTGTGTGATTGAATGAATGGATTATTGCTGTATCAGTGCGTGGGTGAATGTACAATCGACCACAACCAATGCGCATTGGATGTCGCAATGTTTTATGATCTAACTAACTCAGCCCCCTAAGCTTCTACAAATATGGAAGTCAGATAACTGGCATAGGCCGTTTATTAAATGACCATTAAAACACTCGTGAAAATGAAGTGTGCACCCACCTTTCTCAAAAGTGTGACACACCCATCCCACCCCACCCCACCTCCAAGTCAAAAGGTACTAAAATTTTAACTTTAATTAGAAAGTGTAACCCAAATATAACACATGTTACATTTGGCCACTTTCTTATGGTATTGTGTATTCAATGGAAATGATATTCAAGTAGAGTGACTGAGTTAGTGAGTTTGGTTTTACGCCGCTTTTAGCAATATTCCAGCAATATCACGGCGGGGGACACCAGGAATGGGCTTCACACATTGTACCTATGTGCGCAATCGAACCCGGGCCTTCGGCGTGACGAGCGAACGCTTTAACCACTAGGCTACCCCGCCGGCCTTATTCAAGTAGACACAGCCTCGGGTGCCTACATTTCACTGTTCAGTTTCGACGTATGCTCTTTCTATGATATTATAAAGCGTGGCATGCCTCTTTTGTCAGGGTACGGCATTCGCAAAGCTTTCAATTAGTTTACTTGCGGGGGCACCAAGACTACGTTTTGTACAATAATCCCATGATGGAATCGATCCTGGACACTATTCGTCATGGGCAAACACTTTAACAGCACGGCTACCATACTCCCCCTCAAACATGAATACACTATGTATATATGCATATACCCTTCTGTCATTTCAGGTTGACGAAACAATGTTCAATGAAACTAAAACCAAGATGGGGAAGTCTTTCTATGCAACGGTTACTCAAAAGCTTGGCATTGACTGGTCAAACGTGACCTGGTCTGACCTCCGCAAACCGCTTTATTCCGGCCTTGCAGCTGCCATGTACATCCTGAGCAAGGGTGCACCCTGGCTGATCCCCGCTGCCATCGATCAACAAGAACAGTACTGGAAAACACACTACAAAGTGAACGGACCCAACGGAACATTCGTCCCCCTTTCTAAAGAACTGGAATCTGGTAGGTGCTTAACAAATTGATCTTTTTGTCTAATATGAAAAATTGTTAGCTAGAATTGTAACTATTACCTTGTTGGTTTTGCAACAGAAGTTGATCTTTTTGTCCATAAGAAGAAACATATTAGATAAAACTTTGATGATTACCTTTTTGTTGATTCAACTGAAATAGATCTGTTGGTCTAATTTGAAAAACTCTTAGCCATCATTTGAATTATTACTTTGCTGGTCTTGCAACTGAAGTTGAACTTTTTGTCTGTAATGAAAAAATATTATCAGAATTTGTACTATTACCATGTTGGTCATGCAACAGAAATTGATGTTTTTGTCTGATATGTAAAGATATTACCATGAGGTTTAACTATTACCTGGATAGTCTTACTGCTGCAGCTTACGCGTCCTAGCATCGTCGTAGTGATTGTTTCGATAGCTATAATTTCCAGCCATGTCAATACTTGTAGCGAGTGAGCGAGTTTGCTGTGATGACTCTTTGACTAGTACCCGTGAAGATCCGGGTTAGAACTGATCTTCAGTAACCCACGCTTGTCGTAAGGGCGACTAACGGGATCGGGTGGTCATTCTCGCTGACTTGGTTGACACATGTCATCGTATCCCAATGGCGTAGATTGATGCTCATGCTGTTGATCACTGGATTGTCTGGTTCAGACTCGATTATGTACAGACCGCCGCCATATAGCTGGAATATTGCTGAGTGCGTCGTAAAAGTAAACTCACTCATTCACTTCGACAAGTACCTCAGTTATATCATGATGTGTGAGCTCAATGTTAGAGGAAAGCTCGTTGTGATGCAGTTAATATTACAAGCTCTGTATCAAAGTATGAAATGTCAGTTTAGCAATATTCCTAAAGACACACGTGTTGTTGTGTAGGTTGCCATGTGGACGAGCAAGTGGATCTCCTCTTCGTGATCGACACGACCCCAAACACCGTCTTTGACTCGGGCCACATCACCACGTTCATAAAGAATTACATCCAGTCTCTTCACATTGACCATGACCATGCTCAGATTGCTGTTGAGAGCTACGGCACTGACCCCAAAGTGGACATCCCGTTAGGATCCTATTCGACTAAGCAGAGCCTATTGAACGCCATTGATGCCTTGACCTTTACCCCAGGGACGTCTGATCTTGCCAAGGCCTTGGAGGTGGCGTCGGGGGTTTTCATGCCAAACAAAGGGGGTCGGAACAACGTTGCAAAGATAATCATCCTGTTTTCTAGTACTCCGATGCGCTTGACCAATACGGGTGTCTTGGAATCGATCGCGCTGAAGAACCAGGGCGTGACAATATTCACTGTGGGGACTGGGCTGAACAGTAAAGCGCTGAGTCAGGTTGCCAGTGCGCCCTCCTGTGATCACACCTACACCGTGGCGGATTATAGACGACTTGAGGCACTGCATCCATATGTCGCACGTACTTCGTGTAGAGGTGAGTGAGTGAGTTTAGTTTTACGCCGCTTTTAGCAATATTCCAGCTATTCCATTCGTAACTACTCGCCTCTTTCCGTGACTCGTGTTATTCCGGGACAGTTACGGAAAGGGGCGAATGGTGACGAATGCGGTGTTCTGTAACATGCGACTGCGTCACTGTAGGCTTTAGTAGGTGAGTATGGTTTTACGCCGCTTTTAGCAATATTCCAGCAATATCACGGCGGGGGACACCAGAAATGGGCTTCACACATTGTACACATGTTGGAAATCGAACCCGGGTCTTCAGCGCGACGAGCAAACGCTTTAACCACTAGGCTACCCACTGCTCCGTGTGTAGTGGTGAGGCTTTCTCCATTGTCTACCCCTGACATCGTATCCCATTTGTAGATCGATGCTCATTATGTCAATCATTGGCGTGGTTGCTCACATGCTTATGCACAGACTGCCGTCATCTATCTGGAATATTGTCGAGTGCATCGTTAGACAACAAACCAAACATCTGTGTATTGTGTCGTGTAAAACAGTAAAGTACGGATATAACGAACTCCGGCTACCACTGATTTTAAATATGCATTCGACTAAAATAGTAGCAAGTGGTCGGGACCAGAAGCAGTTCGTTATACCCATCAGTTCGTTACAAACATAGTTTACTGTATATGTAAAGTGCTTCAACACTTATTTGTTACCGAAGTCTTTATTGATCCAATGAATATTTACACTAAAAATTACCTCCCCACCGATTGCATATTACAAACTGTTTCAGGAAATAATGATGGTTAAATAAACAAAATCAGATTTAACAATTTCATGACTTAGAAACAAAGTCGATACACCTCGCAAGTTAATATCTAGACTAACGCTTAGTCTCTGAATATATATGGGGCGGTATGGTAGCCTAGTGGTTAAAGCGTTTGCTTAACACTCCGAAGACCCGGATTCGATTCCCCACATGTATAAAGCCCATTTCTGTCCCCCGCTGTGATATTGCCGGAACATTGCCAAATGCGGCGTAAGACACCCCCCTCTCTCTCTCTCTCTCTCTCTCTCTCTCTCTCTCTCTCTCTCTCTCTCTCTCACACACACACAACACACACGCACGCACACGCTCGCACACGCACACACTGAATATATATAATTTTGATAGTTACAAATAAACCCATTTTAATTGAAAAGGATCCCCAGTGAGATTTGAACTTGAGAAAATGTAGATTCATTTAGGGCTTTAGCCTTGCATGGAGATCTAGGCAGTAGGGTAAATAATGTGGTTCATGGCCTGTGAGTCAGACTAGTTAATATCCCTCAGATGGAACCTTCATTGTATGTTAACAATCCTGTGTTCGATGTTACAGTAGCTGTTGGATTACAACCAGGCGACTACAAGTACCCCTGTGGCTCGAATGTGTTAGTTCGAGTACAAAGCAGTTCGGTTGGAGCCACCGTCAAGGTAAACACGTGAGAATCAGCGTAGAGCATACATATAAAGTTCAAATACACATAATTAAGTGGTAGGTGCATAGAAACTGACGTACAAACGAAAATACACACCTGACGATTTGGTAAAATAATTTCTTAAAAACAGCATTAAAATTAGAAAAATGTTTTGATTGTGGCTTACCAGTCACAAACATTGTGAACGTGTTGCAATAACACCAGATATCGTACCCAGTTACAATGTTGCTAGCAAAATATTTGTTTGTTTGGGAATAGTCTCAATACACCCGGTGTGTACCTTCTTTTGTACGTCAGTATAGTTTAGAATAAGCGTGACGAGCAAACGCTTTAACTACTATAGGCTACCCCATCTCCCCGTTATCTAAATAGCATATTGTAGTCCGTTGGCATCCTTAAAGTTCAAGGTAATGATAGTGCGCGCACAGACCTGTGTAGTGCGGACACCTCTGCCTTCCGGGCGATTATTGATGAGAACCGCTAAATACACGCACTAGACTTTAGTTGCATTAAATCTCAGCGATAAAACAATTACCTTGATCATAAAACATCTGTGCTGAAGGCAGAGTCTGCTGTGCGATTCCGTGGATGTCATAAACACGTGTTTATGAATCACAAATAGTGATGTTACGAGGGGAGAGCGCCTTGCCCCTTCGCTCGCATCCGTCACAAATACATGCAAAGGAAAGTCAAGTGTTCTCCTGACCAAACACGAGGGCATTTGTACATCTACTGAATTGAATTGAGCATCAATTTTTCACTGATGGGCCATATTTGGAAATTCCCTTATATGTCTAGGATAAAATTGTTTAAGAGCTTTGTCCAGAATGCAGTAACATCTTTTGAGCAGGACTCTCTGTAATCGTAGAAGTTAATAAGTTTGGAATTCCTGAATATTCTCACAACTCTCACGGTGGTTATCCGTACCTCTTCTCCTAAAACCACCCGTGATCCCGTGATCCCGTGATTCGGGTTAGCATTTGTCTTCAGTAACCCATGCATGTGCTATGATGCGACTAACGGGATCGGGTGGTCAGAATCACTGACTTGGTTGACACGTATCATCGTATCCCAAATGCGGAGATCTCTGCTCATGCTGTTGATCACTGGATTGTCTGGTCGAGACTCGATTACTTATAGCCTTCCACCATATAGCTGGAATATTGCTGAGTGCGGTGTTAAACAACAAACAAACAAACACATTTCCCAATGCCGATTGCCACATCTTGACCCCATCGCCCCGTTATTTCAGAAGCATAGTATAACTATTACAGTGTTAGTGCACAAGTAGTAGAGTAGTAGTAGTAGAAGCAGATGATGATGATGATGGTGATGACGCCCAGTGTCCTGGCTGCATCTACTTACTGACTTAATCTCCCATTTGGCTGTACAGGTACACGTGACAAACGGAACGGCAGAGGTCTATGGCAGCTACGTCAGCACACAACCAAGCAAAGATGTGAACGAAATCAACCACACGGTCACACCTGCACAGCCCACCTCCATCTTCATCCGGGATCAGAGACCTTTGACCCTGGCAGTCAACACGGAACACCGCCATCTTGTGTCATGTTCTGGGGATATCGAGATCACTGTGGAGCCCTCTGTTTCTAAGAGAACAGGTAGGTACGACATGCAATAGGGGATAATTGAATGATTAGCGGTTACTACGGATGTGACGAAGTATTATGTGTCGAATATTGCTCTTAACAATCACAATTCCAATACCTAACCAGTAAAGACCCGAGTTAGAACCAGCAGCCAAGGCTTCTAGGAGGCTGCCAGGGGGTCCGAGTGGTCAGCCTCTTTGACTTGTTTGATATTTGTCGTATTGCAGCTGCGTAGTCAGAAATTAATAACCTGAATATCATTTTGATAAAACAAACGTTATAACTGATCCCTGTTGTTAAACTGAGTGTCTGTATTGTCGTTTTTGAAGAGTAAAATAGACTCGCAGAATGTCTCACACATATCGAGATTAAAGCCGAATGTAAAGAACATTTCTTGACTTCTATTTTTACAGAATGTCAGGCCAAGAATCCTGATATTATTCTCCTCCTGGATTCCTCAAAGAACAAATCAGAAAGTGACTTCAACAACATGAAAGACTTCGCCTCAAGATTCGCCAGTCAGTTCAAGATCGGCTCAGCTGCAGCTCAGATAGGCTTAGTGACGTACGCAGACAGAGCCTCCAACAGATTCTGGCTGAACACCTTCACTACACAGGAGTCCCTCCAGCATGCCATCCGTATCCAGGCCCTCTACGGAAACAAGTCCGATCTAGCAGCGGCTCTGAAGTATATCAGGGAAGAAGCGTTGCAGCCAATCAATGGGAAAAGACAAGGTTCCAGTAAGGTACTTGTGATCGTGACTGGAAGTCCGGCACAAGATCCTGTGGAACTCCTGAGGCAGGCTCGGTTAATCCAAGACGAAGGAGTGAGGGTCGTTGTGGTTGCGGTCGGGGATGCGGCCAAAGATCCTGTGATTCAAGCGATAGCGTCTGGTCTTGTGCATCTCCTGAACGTGTCGGGGTACAGCAACTTGCCCGGGGCTGCGGGCAAGGCGGTGGTGGAGAGCTGTGGAGGTGGGTAACGTGTTGATTGGGTTGATTGGGGGAATGGTTGGTGGGTCGGTTCATAGGGAGGACTAACTGGTTGAGTGGGGTCGGTTCATAGGGAGGACTAATTGGTTGAGTGGGGTCGTTTCATAGGGTGGACTAATTGGTTGAGTTGGGTCGGTTCATAGGGTGGACTAATTGGTTTAAGTGGGGTCGGTTCATAGGGTGGACTAATTGATTTAAGTGGGGTCGGTTCATAGGGATGACTAATTGGTTGAGTGGGGTAGTTTCATAGGGTGGACTACTAGTAATTGGTCAAGTGGGGTCGTTTCATAGGGAGGACTAATTGGTTGAGTGGGGTCGTTTCATAGGGAGGACTATTTGGTTGAGTGGGGTCGTTTCATAGGGTGGACTAATTGGTTGAGTTGGGTCGGTTCATAGGGTGGACTAATTGGTTTAAGTTGGGTCGGTTCATAGGGTGGACTAATTGGTTTAAGTGGGGTCGGTTCATAGGGAGGACTAATTGGTTGAGTGGGGTAGTTTCATAGGGTGGACTAATTGGTTGAGTTGGGTCGGTTCATAGGGTGGACTAATTGGTTTAAGTTGGGTCGGTTCATAGGGTGGACTAATTGGTTTAAGTGGGGTCGGTTCATTGGGAGGAATTATTGGTTGAGTGGGGTCGTTTCATAGGGAGGACTAATTGGTTGAGTGGAGTCGATTCATAGGGAGGAATTATTGGTTGAGTGGAGTCGATTCGTAGGGAGGTCTTATTGGTTGAGTGGGGTCGATTGATTGCGTGGGTCTGTTGGTTTACTGATTGATTGACTGATCGTCTGGGGTTAAGCAGAGTGTGTGCGCGTGTGCGTGCGTCAGTGCGTGATTGAGTGAGTGAGGCCGGATTTAGAAATATCAGATATTGTGTATTTATATTCTTAAAATATGTCAAGCAGTTGAAATATCTTCTTTCACGGGACACTTTCATCGGACCGGTAAAAATACCGAAAAGAAATATATTTACCTAACTGTTAATACAGCCATGTTCTTCACAGATGTTCAACTCGTCTGTATGGAAAACGGACTACAGAGGACCTGCCGTATTGAGGATTTGCTGTCGAGTCAGTTTGCGTCCTTAATTGTCCCAGGTAATCATAACATGCCGACAGACTTGTGTTGTGACACCTTGAAAGTCCGGAACCCTCTACATTCCGGGCGATTACTGCCGAGAACCCCTAAATAAACGCACATCAACATTACATAAAATAAAAACGATAAAACATTTTCTTTAATCACAAGAAACCTGTAATACAACACAAGTATCTTGTGTATATAATTAACACGTGTTTATGAATCATTAATAGTGTTGTTTCGAGGTGTTCGCGAAAAAGGGAGAGTAAGATCGGTAAGATAAGTCAAGTGTTCATCTAACCAAAAAAGAGGGCATATTGTAAAACTACCGAATTGAATCGAACATGTTTTTTGTCACTGATAAGTCTTTTATTGAAATTAATGCACTTTACGTGTCTGCCATAAAACCCTTGGAAAGCTAAGCCTTGAATGCTAAGCCCGATCAAACATTTTTTGAACAAGACTCTCGACTTTAATAAATTTGACTTCCTGAATATTCTCATGGTGATTATCCGAGCCTTTTCTCCCAATAACAGTTGCCACACCTCCTCCATGGTTATCTATTGCGTATTTCTGTGTTGCCCAACTACGTCTGTGAGGAACAATTCACCACCCTAACGTCGACCACTTTGTTCGAATCTCCAAAAATGGCATTAAGAGTGTTTTACCTTAAAACAAACCACGACCATTCTTCGTTGTTCATAGTGACGGTTTCTAGGACTTCAGTCCTGCCCCACAACGAAGCGCATGTGATACATGTGGTCTTACCTTAGGCAAGTGATTTTGGTCAAAATTGTCTATGTTTACCCAGCAGAAAATGGGTACCCGGTGGGATAACTGATGTGATTATTAACCTTCTAGCGCCTCACAGGCAGCATGGGTTATCCGGGGTAATAATGATATTCATCCTGGAATGGCGCTATAAAAGTAGACTATTATTATTATGATTATAATGATGATGATGTTTCAGAACATGGCGCTGTTCCCAACAGCCCCTGCAGTATTCACCTACCAGTCCCCCTTCCCATACAGAGGTTCCCTCATCCTACCGACAAGGACAAGTTCATCCTCTGTGACAACCACGGACAGAGCTACCTTGTTCTGTGTCCTCCGGGTGAAGTCTTCAATGCTTTTACAACAGAGTGTGAACGGCCAACATCTCCACGACCAAGCACCTCACCCATCATTCAACCCGTAACGCATGCACCGTTCACGACGCCAGCAGCATTACCGTCAAAGCCAGCCCCAACGGGAACAGCGTTGCCCTCTTCCTCCAACCCTTGCTCCGGGGAGACCATTTCTCAAGGTCTGTTCTTCCACCCGTACGTCCCCGACCCCCACAAATACATCCATTGCACCGGAATGCCTGACGCTTCAAAACTGGAATCATGTCCAGCGAAGAAGATATGGCGACAAGCGACCACGCAGTGTGAAAACGAGTACATCACTGACGAGGTGGGTCAAGCCGTCACGTCCCTGCCTAACCCTTGCATGTTTGGCACCCCAGGGTTCTTCCCCCACCCGTTCGACAAGAACGCCTACATCCAGTGTGATGCCTGGGGGGAAGGCTTCCTCAAGAGGTGTCAGTCTGGCCTACAGTTTGCTCCAGGGCAAGACACGTGTGTGCGACCGCCGAGTACCTAGACGATAGCCTACGATGACCTATAGATGTGGTACAGATAAGGATGAGGATGATGACACTGACCACGATTATGAAGATAATGATGAAATTGACGACGACGGTGATGATGATAATGATGATAACGACGACGAGGACGACGACGACGACGACGATGATGATGATGATGATGATGATGATGATGATGATGATGATGATGATGGATATTGATATCCTCAGATCTGCTGACGTCCACAGGCAGCTCATTCCACAGATATTTCAACATCTCGTTCCGGAGATTTGTCCCTCTCGGTATTTCTCATTTGAATATTTGCTTTTTTCCATACCATGGTGTCGCTGCTAAAAATATAAAAGAATTCAAAAGGAATACCGTGTTCTTTAGAAGGTCCGCGTCCTTTCTTAAACAACTTGGTTAGTGGAACATACAAAATGAATCGTTGTTTTATGAAGTCAAGTCAGAGGGTTACCTCCCTTACCTCATCGATACCCTATGAATATGTTTTTGTTGATTTTGATTTTCTAATCATATCTTTTATTTGTGAAACACTGGGGTAAGTAAAGAATAACTGCCTTGTTAGTGAAACGGGGATATGTGTGGGAAGAGAGGAGAATGATTGTTTTAACAAATATAGATATCGTCGATGTACTATAGGTTGTTTAATGCAATAAATGTTACAACTTGCATGGCACTTCTGTGTCTCATAATGTTATCACTTGAAACGGTTTTCCATGAACGATTGTTGTGTGAATACAAAGTCATCGATAAATGTTAACGTACATTGGTCTAAGCTTGTTTAATATTTTTGAACTTGTACATTGTGGACCGTTCCAACCAATGGTTGATAACATGAGCAGCGCCCCATCAGGGTGCAGCAACACGCACTTCATCGTTCCTTACTATCTGATCCACGACACAACCTTTCTTACGACATAACTGTCAAGCACAAGAGTGAATGAGTGACTGGGTAAGGGTTTGACGCCGCTTTTAGCAATATTCCAGCAATATCACGGCGGGGGACACCAGAAATGGGTTTCACAGATTGCACCCATGTGGGGAATCGATGCCGGGTCTTCGGCGTGACGAGCGGGCGCTTTACCCATCAGGCTACCCCGCCGCCCCTCAAACACTAGAGAGTGGAGGACTATTCTGAGCCAGGTGTTGTTCTTGTTTAACGCCGCACTCGGCAATAATCCAACCTTTATGACAGGTGTCTTTACATAATCAGGACCAGACAATCCAGTGATTGACATCACAAGCTGCGATCTACGTAGTTGAGATTTCTTTGATATTCATCAACCAAGTCAACAAGCATGACCACACGATCCTATCAGTCTCGTCTTCAAACTGGTAATGATAGGATGCTGTTAGTCTGTCTCACGGTCCCTGGACCACATTATTTTCCGTTCTGCCTAGCCCTCGCTGCAGTGCTAAATCCCTAAATGAAGCAAGTCTAGATTTCTTCAGGTTCAGTATCTAGAAATACCCAGAACATCTTCAAGCATAAGACAGACGCTGGCCTTTTCCCTTCCATTGAACAGTTTGCTTCTATAAAGGGGTTTATGTATATCCTCTTCGCACATTATACAAATGGAAACATTTGAATTTTTTGAGACAAGTTTAAATTCATAGATAATTTTGTTGTTGTTCCTGACAGATCTTGCACCTTGGCCATTTGGTCTCCAAGTGACACTGTGGGCTGCAAGTTTCCAAACTGTAAACTGTTAGGCAGTGGGGGCTTGACTGGACCACACGATGACAGCAGCACTGTGGTGAGACTCCGTGGAGATGGGACAGGGCTTAACACAAGGGCCAATAAATATACCTGTCACTTAAAATGTTATCTGATGGTTGTATGATGTGACTTCCAATTGGTAATGACCCCGGCACGTGCAGCCCCAATGCAGATGTTCTTAGTCTCTGAATCTCTGGTCTGCCTTCGGTCTTTTTCTTGAAGTTCATCAGCCAATGATTGCAGTTGGAAATGGAACATGGCGGACAGCCGGCAATGGTAGGCAAAATGCGTTTAACTACTATAAGAGTAGTATAGATCTGCTTCCCACATTTCCCAGGTCAAAGCGACACACCTTGATATCTCTAAAATACAGTGATATCACAAAAGTTGTTTAACAAACGATCATTATTTTGTTGTCTCTTTTCGCTATTTACTACGAGGGGGACCACTTGCTGGTAGAACAGCCTGGTAATCAACAGGCGTCTCACGTGCGTAGTGAAATTTCAATTTCTCACGTGCAACTCGCACACCTGGCTGTTCTACCAGCAAGTGGCCCCCCTCGTAGAAAATAGCGAAAAGTGACAACAAAATAATGATCGTTTGTTAAACAACTTTTTTATTCGAGTGTCCAAAATTATGAGACAAATCATCAGAGTTGCTCTGTCGATTTCATTAGACTGCAAAATTTGGCTTTGTTGCAACCATTACATTTTGTGTCAGTGAGCAATTCATCAGTCTCAAATGAAATCAAACGGACTGTAAAAGTGATGTTTTCAAAAGGGAGATAACTTTTGTTGTGTTATTTGCCAGATCAGTTCCGTACCACTAAGCTTTACGAACACTCATTCAACAAAGACGTATAGTGCAGCCAGACCGACACGCTGTAAACCACCCACTACGACCTTTCTTTAACTTTGCTCAAATTTATAGTTCACTTGACCAGGCGGACATTGAAATTGTGTTAAAGGTCGTTTTTGTCCACTTGAAATGTCATATCTTGAAGTTTTATAGCAATTTCGAAATAGTATTATGGAAGTTATTGGAACATTTCCCATTTCTGATTTTTGTCAGTATTGTACTTATAGTAAAGTGAAGATTCCTATTATTGTAAATGCCGAACTGCAAACGCTGAGCAAGTTATTAAGAATTGGACGACACAACGTGGACAGTGGTTGGATCGGAACATAAATTGTCTATACAAAACTTTTTTCGATTTGATTTTTTAACGATATTTATGATCTCTATGCTTAATTCTGAGTGCACTCTGTTATGCAACTCAAACATATTCCTTTCCAAACCGCACTTTAGCGACCATGGCTATGAAATACATGCCGCGGTGTTGGAATACATTACAAGTTTTCATGGCGTATATTACCAAAATTAGACTAAATTTTCTTCTGCCTTCCTATCGTGGGTACATGCGTATCATTACTTATCCTTGCTCGTAGTCAATAATTTTCTACTGTCTATTGCATTTTGGTGTCGAGTCTTGCTTGCTGCCTGTCAATGCCTTCTGCCTGTCACTATTGTATGACTATTTTCACCTATCATTGCTTTCTGCTCTTAATTCACTGTTGCTTAACACCACCTTCTTCCTATAAATGTTCACTAAATACTGTCAACTTCCAGTTTTTGTCTGTAGCCTCCTTCTGTCTGCTGCCTATGATTTCCAGCTGCCCTTCACTATCCACTGGCCATCTTTGCCTACTGTGCTGCACTGTCCTACACTGTCTGCCTCCTATCACAGCCAGCTGTTAATCATTTTCTCAACCCTCCATTCCCTTCTTCCTATAACTATCTACTAAACCGACAAACAAAAGAAAAGATATCTTCCCTGTTGATTTTATCGTGTGTTCGAAAATGTATGATGTTAACATCGCATGCAAAACACGAACTGTACTTGCGCTAATTCAGCACTCACAAATACTCCTGTATGACCTTATGCCTATGTTATATGCCTTGTGCCTATCCCTGTCAGCTTTCTATCGTTGTTTACCTTTCACTGTTTATAAAATCACTGCATACTGCCTGTCATTGTCTGTCTAGTGCCTATCGTCGCTTCTGCCTAATCCCATCACTGCCTATTACATATTAACGCTTGCCGTCTGTCGTTGTCATCACTGCATACTGCCTATCAGTGCCTACTACATATTATTGCTTGCCGTCTGTCGTTGTCCCCTATCACTGCATACAGCTTATCACTGCCTACTACATATTAATGCTTGCCGTCTGTCGTTGTCATCACTGCATACTGCCTATCAGTGCCTACTACATATTATTGCTTGCCGTCTGTCGTTGTCCCCTATCACTACATACAGCCTATCACTGCCTACTACATATTAATGTCTGCCGCCTGCCATTGTCCCCTATCACTGCATACTGCCTATCAACTGCCTACTACATATTAATGCTTGCCGTCTGTCGTTGTCCCCTATCACTGCATAATGCCTATCACTGCCTACTACATATTAATGCTGGCTACCTGCCATTGTCCCCTATCATTGCCTACTGCCTATCACTGCCTACTACATATTAATGTCTGCCGCCTGCCATTGTCCCCTATCATTGCCTACTGCCTATCACCGTTTACTGCCTACTCCCCAGCATTGCCTAATTCTTGTCCCTATATAATGTCCATCGTTGCCTCCAGGATCACCGCCTACTACATCATTGTTTACTGCTAATCACTGCCGCCCGCCATTGTATCATTCACATCACATACTGCCTATCCTGCCTACTACATTGCTAATACACATCACTGCCTGCTACCTATCATTGTCCCCTATCACTGCCTACTGCCTATCATTGTCTACTACATATCAATGTCTGCCGCCTGCCATTGTCTACTACCTATCATTGCCTACTATATCATCCTGCCTACTATCTGTCAGCATTGCCTATCTGTCTACCTATCATGTCACTACCTATCATTGTCTCCTTCACACATCACTGCCTCCTACCTATCATTGTCTCTACACATCACTGCCTACTACCTATCATTGTCTACTACACATCACTGCCTGCCTACCTATCATTGTCTATCATTGTCTACTTCACATCACTGCCTACTACCTATCATTGTCTACTACACATCACTGCCTACTACCTATCATTGTCTACTACACATCACTGCCTGTTGCCTATCATTGTCTACTACAATCACTGTACTACTTCACATCACTGCCTTCACATCACTGCCTACCTATCATTGTCTGCTACACATCACTGCCTACTACCTACCATTGTCTACTTCACATCACTGCCTCCTACCTATCATTGTCTGCTACACATCACTGCCTACTACCTACCATTGTCTACTTCACATCACTGCCTCCTACCTATCATTGTCTGCTACACATCACTGCCTGTTGCCTATCATTGTCTACCAGCCTAGCTCTACAGCATTGCCAACTTTATACCTCAGTTTATTGCCTGTCATTTATTTATCGTGTAAGATCTCAACTGAACACCGCTGTCTATGTGTCGTAGTATTCTGTTCTACCTTCTACTAATGTAAGTTTTTAAACTAAGTTTTTAGCCTGTACTTTAAACACCCATCCACTCCCCGCGTACACGTCCTGTGTATCAACAGGCACTATTGACTACATCGCTTCATTGTATACGCGTTACCGTTGTCCTTGTTCTATCATTATCTGCTGCCTATCAGTGTGTAGTCTTATTGCCTTATAGATATGCTTGTCTGTTGTGTATGTGTGTCACTCCGTCTAGTATCTACCGTTATCTTGTTTTTAACTCTGTCTTCAACGTGTCATAATCTTGTATCTAACTGTTTCCACTGCACCTATGGTCTAATAATATTAATAAAAATGTGCTCAAAGCTAACACACAAACTGATTATTTTTATACCGGATAATCCAAGCTGCCTGTGAGGCGCTAGAAGGTTAATAGTCATATGACTTATCCCACCGGGTACCCATTTTCTAGCGGGTGAGCAGAGGCAATTTTGAACAAACTCACTTGCCTAAGGTGAGACCACAAGTATCACATGTGCTTCGATGTGGGACAGGACTGAAGTCCTAGAAGCTTTCAGGAGTCAAGCTGCCAACACAGTCACCCATCCAAGGACTCTCCGCGCCCAAAGTTGCTTAACTGCAAGTGATTTGTGACCTGAGCTCTCTATGCACAAGATCACATACCACCACACGTTACCCGTGCCCGCTGTTCCAATGATTACGAGACGACTTACAGTATGGGGCCAAGTGATCTCGTGCCACTATCCTCCTATGGCTTGGGACGTCGCGCGTACTTTTAAGCACTGGATTAACTGGTCCAGATTTGATTAAATGCAGGATACTGTCTAGTCTGTCCCACAGTCCCTGAACCACAATATTTTCCCTACTGCCTAAACCTGTCAGCAATGCTAAAGCCCTAAATGAAGCAAGTCTATATCTAGATTCCCTCCGGTTCAGGATTTCCCAACTGACTGGGGCTCCTTTTCAGTTTAAATGGGTTTATTTGTTACTATCAAAATTATATATATTCAGAGACTAGTCGTTAGTCTAGATATTGTCATACAGCTGGGATATTCTTGGAGCCAAACAATAAATGAACAGACGCAAGCACAACTTAATGTACACTACCCGTTGGTATTTTGGTTCACGCATATATATGTACCAATGTTCGCCATCAGATGTGCGTTTCAGCTTATCCAGTGTTCTGACCTTTGGACAGCGTTCTTTCACCTATGCAGCCCCTACTCTCTTGAACTCTCTTCCTTATGACCTCAAAACTATTGACAATTTCGACTTGTTCAAGTCCAAACTTAAAACCTACTTCTTCCAGCAGTATCTACCTTAATGTGCTCTAGTATTGCTTCTGTACATATGTTCATACTTGACTCTGTAGCGCCTTGAACATGTCTGTCGAGGTGGATTAGGCGCACATACATATTATTATTATTATGTTTTACAGATTAAAAATTGTAGCAGCAGAGAGGGTTCGGGTGATCCTGTCAGTCAGGCTGGTAAGGCTCATCATCAGCTCAGGGCCCGCCCCTCTACACGCATAGAAGCGAATGGGACATTAGGAAACGCTGCCTAGTCGAGACCCACCAAGAACTTTCCGGAGAATATTATTATTATTATTATTATTATTATTATTATTATTATTATTATTATTATTATTCTGAAGATAACTCCGTATCCACGTTAGTGTGAAAAGGTGTGTCGAGGAACACCTTCTCATAAAACATACGAGATCTGGTGTAAGTAGCTTTCGGTGCTACTGGGTTTGGCTGAGATGAAGATAGACAGAAATATAGATGCTTGCTTCATGAGCCCCTCACCCTCTATGTCAATAGGTCGGGTAGTCTTCTGTTATCAGCTGACCTGCCTTAGAGACTAGGCTCATCCCCATTTTGTCCCCATACCAGCAGATGCTGGTGCTGATGATATGTTAACGAGGAGTACTTGGAGGTCTGCAGCAAGGAAAGTTTTGGACTTAACGAGAAACATACATGCACAGAAAAAATACCTGATATCTTGATCGAGTACAGTTCCTAGTACGTATAGAGCTTGTGCACTAAGTGACACCCTTGCCTCGAGGTCTGGACAAGCTATATAACTATTGACATGTGTGTTACTGTTTCGGCAATGCTGTCAGTATTCATGTCTGGTAACACGTTTTAGGTGAACTGTAACTATTGAATCCTGAAAACACGTGTTGAAAATGAACCATATGTTTGAAGTAAACTGTAACACTATGAGCAGTGATAACACGTGTTTATATTGAACCTCATGTTTGAAGTGAACTGTAACTTAGTAAGGCGTGATAACACGTGCTTAAAGTGAAACATACTTTTGAAATGAGCTGTAAATTTGTAAAGCGTGATAACACGTGTTTAAAATGAACATGATTGGTTTTGAAGTCCACTGTAACTTTATGCGCAGTGATAACACGTATTTATATTGACAAACACTTTTGAAATGAGCTTTAACTTTGTAAGGCGTGATAACACATGTTTACAATGAACATGTTTGATGTGAACTGTAACTACTGAATCGTGATGACACGTGTTTGAAGTCCACTGTAACTTTATGAACAGTGATAACACGCGTTTATATTGAACCACGCGTTTGAAATGAGCTTTAACTTTGTAAGGCGTAACAACACGTGTTTAAAGTTGGCATGTTCGACGTGAACGGGAACTGTAACTATTGAATCGTGATGACACGTGTTTGAAGTTAACTGTAACTTTATGAACAGTGATGACACGTGGTAAAAGTGAAACACATGTTTGAAATGAACTGTCACTTTGTTACGCATGGTGACACGTGTTTTAGGTGAACAGGTGTGCCTAGCTAACACTTCACCCTAGCCCGCAAAATACTTCTATACGTTCACACATCTTCATCTCTTTCTTAAAACTTCCCTTGATTGCACGCATAACTGCACATGTGACTTCGTTCTTGATTTTTCAAGGGATGAAACACAAGCCTTTTGCTGATGATGCCCAGCTCATTGATAGTTTTCGCCCAAGCAACATAAGTCAAGCTTTGGATCGCACAGCAGCATGTACATCGGATATTAAGGCTTGGATGACTGGTAGGAAACTCAAACTTAATGACGACAAGACCGAGGCTATACTGATAGGGTCTAAGCGTCAACTTCAGTCAGTGGATGAGGCTTATGTTAGTATTGGACAAGCTGAAATCTGCTTCTCGGACGAACTGAAGAGTCTTGGTGTCTATTTAGACTCACAGCTCACCATGGAGAAGCAGGTAAACAGTCTCTGCAGGACATGCTACTTTCACTTGAGATGCACTGGCCAAATCCGTCATCTTCTAACCACTGAAGCCACAAAATCCCTTGTCCTTTCACGGCTAGACTATGCCAATAGCCTCCTCTTTGGAATCAAGAAATCATTACTACAAAGGCTCCAGAAAGTACAGAACACTGCAGCACGGATGGTGTCAAGAGTGACCAAATTCTCCCCAATTACACCAGTTCTTCAATCACTACACTGGCTTCCTGTAGAAGCCAGACTGAAATTCAAAGTTCTGTGCCTGACGTACAAGTGCTACCATGCATTGGCTCCATCATACCTATCCTGTCTACTCAATCACCACCAGTCCCAACGTTCACTGCGCTCAGACAACCTCCACCTTCTGTCTATTCCTCAGTATAACTTCACAAACTTTGGTGATAAGCCATTCTGTGTTCATGCCCCAAGACTCTGGAACACACTGCCTCTAAACATTTATCTCTCTCCTTCATTTGACTCTTTCAGACCTCGACTAAAGACCTTCCTATTCCGTGAACACTATGACCTTTGAACTATGTGCCGCTTTGAGCATACTCTAGAGTGGTGGAATCTAGCGGGATACAAAACCACATCATTATTATTATTATTATTATTTTATACTCGTACTAAGCACTTGACGTGTCTCTTGACTTGTCTTTGACAAGGAACTTCATTACCGACTTCACCCTTGACTTGAGACGTACTGGACTTCACACTCAAACGGGACGTCACACTTATAACGTCACACTTGACTTCAAGTTGCACTTCGGGGGTGGGCAATATGTTCATGCGAATGAATGGATACATTGAAAATACCCGTGAACTTCTGGGTTAGAATTGATCTACAGTAACCAATGCTTGTCGTAAGAGGCGACTAACGGGATCGGGTGGTCAGGCTCGCTGAGTTGGTTGACACATGTCATCGTATCACAGTTGCGTAGATCGATGCTCATGCTATTGATCACTAGATTGTTTGGTTCAAACTCGATTATTTACAGACCGCCGCCATATAGCAGAAATATTTCTGAGTGCGGTGTAAAACAAAACTCACTCACTCACTTTGGCACAGCAACTTGCTGACTGACACTATTAGAAAGTGTGATGCAGTACAATTGGTCAAGGATTATAATGGGACATCAGCGACTGGTGATAATTATCATTACTTGTTTCGGTGATGCAAAATTGAAATAAGAAAGAATAAGTAACTAATTTCTATTCCTCGCTTTCTTATATTATTTATTCAAAGGTGATTCATGAAATACAATCCTATCAAGCATGAACAATTTATCCCACCTACACCCAACACCTACACCCATCGTATTTTTATTTCTAAGCTTCACAGAAATTACTTTGATCTAGGACAATGGTCGCAGTATGAGTGTCACGATATACGTAAATATAGTCAGCTTTAACGAGACAGGGATGACATGAAGTCAGCTAAATGTTCTTTAAGGAGACACGATATACGGAAAAAATAATGTTTTTAAAGAAATGTTCTTGACATCGTGTCCGGAATAGGAGCATTCGGAAATCCTAACACATTTAAATGCCTCATATCACAAGCTATTTACACAGAGGAGCATGTCAGAGAAGCCCCCGACCCAGATTTATGTCAAACACCCTCTTTAATTAACGACGGCGAGCTTTGCTTCTAAGCTCTGTAGGTATTCTTCCTTTGCCCCACGGTGACCATCTTATGTCCCTCAAGTTATTAATATGCTGACCCTACCATACCCTCTTGTTCAAACCCAGAGGTTATCATTTTCATCTGTGTCAGCCTCATCTTAGAGAAGAAGCCAACCATAAATAGGGCTTCATCCTGAACTTTCATCTTTGTCAGGTGGAGGTCCTCCAGAACGGTCTGCGTCACTTAGCCAGTTACTGCCTGACTGTAGACAAGGTTACTGAATCAGCTTAAAGGAAAGATGGTTCGGTTATTCATCTCAATCCTGCTACTGGGTTTGATACAAGCCCTGACCCTGGATCAGACTCTAGTTCCTGGGTCCTATGGACCGGAGGTGGTCCAAGCTGTGGTGAACAGGGTCCGAGAGTCGTGTCTGTTCCCCGACGACAAGCTGTTCCTCAGACGCCTGGCCTTCGTAGCATCAGAAGATGGAAAAGACGCTAAGACCTACAGACCTGGGTATGATGGAGGAATTTGGCAGGTGGAGTACCTTTTATTGTTTTATGTTCAATAATCTCCTCAGACGAAAATGAACTCGCAGCCAAACATCCATATCATGGAGAAGGCTGATTTGTCGATTTCGATGAAAGTGTTCCTGTATAATTTTTACATCAAAATTAACCATAGAAATAATCTAAATTCTATTGGACGTCCATGATGACATATTTTTTTTAAGTATTTGTATTATTCCTCAGATTTAACCTCAGATCAACATATGGAGTTATTTAACACATGCATTGACAACGTTTTCAAAATATAACAAGGAAATATAATATGGGTCGTCAGGATAAAATAATATCGACGTAGATAATAATAAGGGCATTTGTAAAGCGCTGAATTCCGCACCACGGAGGGGCACACTCAACGCGCTACAATCTGATTATTATTACCCCGGATAGCCTGGTAACCTGTAATGTCGTCGGTTTAAGAATTTCGAGTTAACGAGGTTTCACAAAATGTATTCTTTACTTCAGATCGACCAGGACAAGTTCAACATGATCAAGAACTCTGGCACCCTGTTCGCGGACGTCAACACCCAGTTTGCCATCGACTGGAATACAGTTCTGTGGTCAGATCTCAGGAAGCCTCTGTACTCCGGCCTAGCTACTGCTCTCTATCTGACCACCATTACCGAACCCCTCCCACAGGGTGTGGAGAAGCAAGGCTCTTTCTATGGGACATACTTCTTTGTTGATCCCCATGCTGCAAACCTGTTTTACAAAGGCTCAAAAAGCTTTGATATTGGTAATTATTTTTTTTAACTTGTTGCTGATGGTCACGTCTCACCCTGATCACCCTGAGTCCACAACATGGGTGACTGGTTGATGTTGCTAACTCCGCATTAAGCAATATTCCTGCTGTACGGCGATGGCCAGTACTGAATCGAGTCTTGACCAGGAGTACGATGACAACCATGTTGCCCAGGCTGACCACGTGATCCTGTTGTATCTAGGAACGCTGAGGTAGCCTAGTTGCCAAAACGTCCGTTCGTCACGCCGAATTCCTAGGTTCGATTCCTTAAATGGATCAAATGTGTGAAGTACATTTCTGTTGTCTCCCACTGAAGCCTGGTACGATAATATATGCTTCCCAAGGCCGATTATGTGGATACATAGACTCACCCAATGGGAATGTCAATATGTATTCTTGTCTATAATATTAGTAATGTTTAGCTATATCCTATGTTTTGTTTCTTATTTCATTCCACGGATTACTTATTACTGTATGCTATTTCCAGTCTGTGCAAGAACCAACCTCGACCTTGCTTTCTTGGTGGACGCCTCGTCTAGTCAGTCTCCGGAGGATTTCGAAAGTGCCAAAAAGTTCGCGCATGAAGTGGTCGACAACTTTGTAATCGGTACAGATGATGTTCGTGTCGCTTTCGTGACATTCAGCACCGGCTTCAAATCCCAGTTTGCCTTCAACCAATACAACGACAAAGCTGCTCTCCAGAAAGCCATTGATGGCATCGTTATGATCAATGGGGAAACAGATACCGATGAAGCTCTGAACTATGCTTCTGAACACCTCTTCACACCAGCCATGGGTGCCAGAGACGGGTCGTCCAAAGTAATAATCCTGCTCACGGATGGCCAGTCGAGTAACCCAACAAAAACCCTTTCTGCAGCTTTGGGTGCACGGAACAAAGGAATCACTATTTTCGCCATTGGTGTTGGCGACGGCATCGACAGCACAGAGCTGAGGAATGTCGCCAACAAGCCCTACTGTACCCATGTGATAGAACTTAAGGGCTACTCAGACCTTGGTGCTCTCGTTACCCAAATTCAACAGGTGTCCTGTTTAGGTAAGATTTGATTGATTGATTGATTGATTGGCTGGTTGAATGATTGATTGATTGATTGATTGATGTTCAGTTGGGTGGATGGTTGGTTGGTTGGTAGGTTGGTTGGCTGGTTGGTTGGATGGATGGATGGATGGATGGATGGATGGATGGATGGATGGATGGATGGATGGATGGATGGATGGATGGATGGATGGATGGATGGATGGATGGATGAACCCCGTTTCATCTCACTTCACACTAAATTCAATCTCAATCAACATCGGGTCCGTGCGGTAGCCTAGTGGTTAAAGCATTCGCTCGTCACGCTGAAGACCCGGGTTCGATTCCCCGCATGGCTACAATGTGTGAAGCCCAGTTCTGGTGTCCTCCGCTGTGATATTCCTGGAATATTGCCTAAAGCGGTGTAAAATCAAACTCAATCAATCAATCAGTCAATCCGTCTCTGAATACTCTATTTGACTTTTTGTGAAATGAAATTACATGTATGTTGAAGTTTATTCAGGGCAACGGTCCAGGAGCAACACCACCACGGACACAGTTTACCGTTTAATTCGTTTTTAGTAACATGTTTCGTGATCACGACAATGATCAAATTATTTTTTCAATATAGTTCAAAGTTGTCATTTTGAATTTACAGCACCAGCTGTTCTGAATCCGGGCACGTATAAGTATCCCTGCTCCAGCGGCGGCCTGTACCAGGTCTTTACCAACGAGTCCCTCGTGCAAGTAATGGTAGGTGGATTATGTTGGGATTCGGGTCGATCAGTCCTTTGTTATATAGAAGCTATTTACAGATTTTGTATTGTTTTGCAGTTTTTTACCCACTCTAAGGACTAAAGTTTGAAGATTCCAATGCAATATGGGTTAACTTGCTGTTATATTATCTCTCCTGAGATTGACACAGTGCAGTAGGACCCGATACATTTTGCCTGTCGTAACATTAGACTAGTCCCCTATTCTTTAATGAAATGTTGCAAATGTCTTATTAAACAAACGAAAGGCCACAAACTTTCCTTTCAAACGTTTTCTTATCTGATGACTGCCGTTATAATTATGGTCAGGATTAATTACGGTTTTGATAAGGCTAGCAGTTTAATAAAGATACCGAGGCAGCGAAGGCATGTCCTTGTCTTATCCCCCTTAAAGTAGAGCACCAGGCATGGTAATAAACACTTTTACGTAAATTGGTATGAGATCGTTTGTTTGTTTGTTTGTTGTTCAGCAATATTCCAGCTGTATGGCGGCGATCTGTAAATAATCGAGTCTCGACCAAACAATTCAATGATTGACATCATGAGCATCTATCTACGATGACATGCATCAACCAAGTCTGTTCACCTGATCCCGTTAGACAGGAAATCGTACAACCGACCGTCCGATCACCGGACAGACGATCTATCGACTTGACCAGGGTCAGCCGGAACCCCAACCTACTGTCCCACAGCTGGGTATAAAATGACCCTGATTGGCAGTGACTGTTGAATGTTTCAGATTGATGTTACTGATGGTATGGTGGATATCTATGGATCGCTGAATAATCCAACACCTAACAAAGCCGGTAGTGATTTTTCCACGTAAGATACATTTATTAATCATGGGGATTTCGGGACGATTCGTCTGGGGTGAGTGGTGTTACACGATATAAAGTGTTATAAAATATCTGAATGTGAAAAAATTCAGCTGTTATAAAATGAATAGAATTCACATTAATCGATAAACGGTAATGAATATATAACTGTTCTTATATACCTCGCCCTGTGAGACAAGACGGTAAATTCATTTGCTTGACAACGACATTAGAATCTCTGTCGAAATGTCGCCTTTCGCAGAATGAGAAGTTGTATATCCATAAAATTATCATCATTCTTCAATTGAAAAGTTATGAATTAAAAAAACCGCTCCTATTCATGACAAAAAGTATTCTAAAACAACGTGAATATGATGAAACGGTATCAGAAATATTTACGTTTCCTTGTGGAATATATTCCCTCCAGAAACGTGGTGTGTACTTTCTTTTGTACGTCAGTGTACTTCTTTTCCAGTAATTCAGTGATAGGTGCAGCATCCGTGGTTCTCATCGACCAGGAAGCCAAGCCCCTGTACCTCAACATCACACCTACTGGGCCACCTACTGGCTGCACCGGCAACTACACCATCAAGATCGGCAACGTTGAGAGAGTCAATCCAAGTACGTTGAGCATTACTTCCTAAACGAAGGCGGTGGGGTAGCCTAGTGGTTAAAGCATTGGCTCGTCACGCCGAAGACTCGGGTTCGATTCCCCACATTGGTACAATGTGTGAAGCTCATTCCTAAGTGTACCCCCGCCGTGATATTGTTGGAATATTGCTAAAAGCGGCGTAAAACCATACTCACTCACCTACTAAACGAGTGAGTATGGCTTTAAGCAATATTCCAGCAATATTACGGCGGGTGTTCAAGAAATGGGCTTCACATATTGTACCCATGTGTAATCGAACACTTTCACCACTTGGCTACCTCGTCCAATTATTTGTTCTTATTTTTTTACTGTTTAACTCAACAATATTCCAGCTATATGACAACGGTCGATCCAAATTTAAGTATAGACTAGACAATCCAGTGACTGTCATCATCGATGTACGTGAGTCAGCGAGCTACCATTCGATATCATTAGTACCGAACATCGACTCTTCTACGGTGACCATGGAATAAATTATAAATTGTTTTACAAGATGACCTTGTTGGTTTTAGAGGTTTCTAGCATTCCACCAAAGGTTAGAAACTTATAAATTTCACTAGAAATCACATGGATTATTATGAAGTCTTTGCTACAAAGAGTGACGTCATGGCTGTCAAGCCACTGTGGATGCTAACGTTAGAGAATCCGAAAATGACAGTTCACATATGAATATTACAGCGTCGATAAACACTCGCATAGTAAAACATAGTTAAATATTTCTTGTTTAACATAAGAACTTGTTTAAAGGTATGAATTTGTATCTTTTTTTCAGATGTTAACGTTACATGCGTCGAACGTGATGTCGTCACAGCCTGCTCTATCGCAAACATATACGAGCATCTCTACCATTATCAACATGCCCCTTGTAAGTAGTGATACCGGAAGTAGTATAATCACACCTCAACCATGTAAATAGTGTTACCGGAAAAAGTAAAATCACACGTCAACCATGTAAGTAGTGGTACCGGAAATAGCATAATCTCACGTCAGCCATGTAAGTAGTGGTACAGGGAGTAGTGTAGTCTCACGTCAACCATGTAAGTAGTGTACCGGAAGTGGTATAGTGTAACGTCAACCATGTAAGTAGTGTACCGGAAGTGGTATAGTGTAACGTCAACCATGTAAGGAGTGTACCGGAAGTGGTATTGTCTCACGTCAACCATGTAAGTAGTGTACCGGAAGTGGTATAGCGTAACGTCAACCATGTAAGTAGTGTACCGGAAGTGGTATAGTGTAACGTCAACCATGTTAGTAGTGTACCGGAAGTGGTATAGTGTAACGTCAACCATGTAAGGAGTGTACCGGAAGTGGTATTGTCTCACGTCAACCATGTTAGTAGTGTACCGGAAGTGGTATAGTGTAACGTCAGCCGTGTAAGTAGTGTACCGGAAGTGGTATAGTGTAACGTCAACCATGTAAGTAGTGTACCGGAAGTGGCATTGTCTCACGTCAACCATGTAAGTTGTGGTACCGAATGTAGTATAGTGAACTTATACATACATCTAGACCAGTGAAGATGATTCAATAGATTTTCAAAATACTATTTATCTGTACCGGATTCGTCCTGTTATTAATATAACTGACATTATGGTGGTGGTAGTAGTAGTGGTAGTAGTACTAGTAGTAGTAGTAGTAGTAGTAGTAGTAGTAGTAGTAGTAGTAGTAGTAGTAGTAGTAGTAGTAGTAGTAGTAGTAGTAGTAGTAGTAGTAGTAGTAGTAGTAGTAAAAATATGGTTTACAGGCATGAGTACCTGATTTATTGTGAAAATACATTTATACATGTTTCATATCCAACCCAGTCTCTCCATGAATTGTTGAGTAAGTGGATTAAGATTTATAGTCACATCAGCAATATTTCAGCCTTATCGTGACTAAGTTGCAGCCATTGGTGTTTAGCTGCCAGTTTACTCTGTCGGTCATAACTAATGCACTAACCCATGTGTTGTACTATTTGACAGACAGCTTCATAAATCCCTGTGCATTTGGACGACCTAGCTACATGATCCACCCATTTGACCAAACCAAGTTCCTCATCTGTGGTCCAACCGGAATCGTCTATGTGTTCCAATGCGACCCCCATTACGTATACGACCCAAGCACCATGGACTGCATCCCCGGAGAACCGAGCACCCAGATCCCCACGACGACGCCAACAACAACCATCCCCACCGTCACCCCCAGGCCCACTTCCGGTGTGACAGACGCTCCAGGCCTCAGCCCTTGCAGCGCAGCTACGAAGGGTCAGTTCTTCCCCTACCCTCCCAACCCCGCTAAATACATAGACTGTTCCAACTGGCCTCATTACGGATACATCAAGGACTGTGACAAGGGTACGTACTGGGACCAGAAGGACCTCACCTGTACTTACAAAGATGTCGTGATTGATCCTACCACCAACACGTTCGACAAGAATGTTCCTAACCCCTGCCACAACCCCATGAAGCAAGGAGATCTGTTCTACTACCCCCACCCTACAAACAAGCATATGTTCATCCACTGTGATCAATATGGCGACGCCTTTGAGAAGCACTGTCAAAACACGCAGATATGGCGCCAGGACTTACTTCAGTGCGTGCCAGAAGGGCTCATTGTTGGCTAGCTTCTCTCTTCACTTTTAAACCATGAATAAAAATATTTGTCTTCAGAAACGTATTTCGTAATGCCCACGTGAATTTTCTTTCATTCTTTTCGCAGTTCGCAGAATTACGAACATTTATTAAAATTTACACAAGGGAAGACAACTCTTCTGTTAGAATCCGGGCAATATTGGGATTATATTTTATCCGGACGATTTCCTGGAAAAACACAATAAAAATATCTCAGGCCCAGAAAAACAGACATCGTCCACACAGCATGTGTCGAATGAGCCTCACACTGATGCATTTGAAAGGTTCTGCGCCTTTGTGCTCTCTGAAAGTAGTTCTGAATTCAGGAATGAAAGAAACTAGCTGGCGTAAGATTCTTTGACTGTTCATAGTTTTAACCCATGTCAACTTTGGTTCACTTTCTTGTTGACCAGATACAAGTTTGTGTATGTCATTTAACATGTGATGAAGATGTGTAAACCTGACCATGTAATAAACTCTTTCCTTTGAAGTAGTACTGTTATTATCATTGTGTACGGCGGTGGGGTAGCCTAATGGTTAAAGCGTTCGTTCGTCATGCCGAGTACCCGAGTTCCAAACCAAATCACTGTCATTGTATTACACAGAATTGCAACTTCTTCAACATAGAAACTTAAGGCTATCGCACTCTGCCTCTCCGTGATTCCATACCGATAAATACAGAGTGAGTGAGTTGTGATTTAAAGTCACATCGGCAATATTTCAGGCATATCGTGACTACTGATAAATGGTGTTGCAATTTTGATTGATACGACTCCTGTACATTATGTCGGGGGTGGTTGTCTGAATCGGTGGGTGATTGGGGGTGGGGTGGGGTGGTGGGGTGGAGGTGGGGGTAGTCTGGTGGTTAAAGCGTTTGCTCGTCATGAGGAAGACCAGGGTTCGATTCACAACATGAGTACAATGTGGTTTTTTTGGCGTAAAACAAAACTGACACAATCACACAATTGGGAATTTATTAGGACTGACTGAGTTTGGTTCTACGCCGCTGGGAATTTATTAGGAAACGATAAGGGAAACAAAGTAGCTCCTTGGGGAATGACTAGTCAATATCAGTATTATATCAAATGCAGCATTATGGAGATACAGCCAACCCAGCTTACCAATGCTGTACACTACAGGAACAGGACCGTCGGGTAAGCCTAGTGGTGAATCGTCACGCCGAAGGCCCGGGTTCGATTCCCCACATGGGTACAACGTGGGTGTGTCATGTTGCTAAAACGGCGTAAAACCCAACTAGTACACCCAGAGGAATCGTATGCAGTCTGCATGGTTTGAAGACAGTTTTTGCAATATTCCAGTCATCTCATAGCATGGACAACAGGAAAGGGCGAAGCATATAGCATCGAACTATGGAGATTGAGTGAGTGAGTGAGTATGGTTTTGCTTTTAACAACATTCTAGCGGGGAAAACCAGAAATGGGCGGGAAACACCAGAAACGTGGAGAATCGAACATTTCTTCGGCGTGACGAGCCAACGCATTAACCACTAGGCTACCCCTCGTCCCCGAACTAAGGAGAAATTGGCGAACGATTTGGTCATTAAAAGAGGATTTAGTCGTATTTAATCTGATTAATTACTGAATTAAATTTACTGAATCATATTGCAGGTTATTCAAAATGATCTTACAATTTTTTACATGAAGGTTTTGTAAAGTGATATCTTTGACGAAAATTATAGGGACCTAGTGTCAAAGTTTCAGGATGTTCCATACTGTCCCCGGGTACTTTCGAAACAACCTACAGCATAGAACGAATATAACAAATTCAAAGGGACCACTGATTTTAGTTCATTTTAACCGTAGTTCGTTATATGCATTGCAAATAAGATATACAGCAAGAAGCAGGGACCCAACAACCAATTCTCAGAAATCCGTCAGATCGTTATATCCTTCGGTTCGTTACATCTGTCAATTCGTTATATCTGTCAGTTGGTTATATCTGTCAGTTCATTATATCTGTCAGTTGGTTATATCTGTCAGTCATTATATCCATCAGTTCGTTATATCTGTCAGTTGGTTATATGTGAGTTCATTATATCCGTCAGTTGGTTATATCCGGCAGTTCTTATATCCGACCATTGTCAGTTCATTATATCCGTCAGTTGGTTATATCCCAGTTCAGTTGACAGTTATATATCCGTCAGTTCGTTATATCCGTCAGTTCGTTATATCTGTCAGTTGGTTATATTATATCCGACAGTTGGTTATATCCGACAGTTCATCAATATCCGTCAGTTGGTTATATCCGTCAATTCGTTATATCCGTCAGTTCGTTTTATATCTGTAAGTTGGTTGTATCCGACAGTTCATTATATCCGTCAGTTCATTATATCTGTCAGTTCGTTATATCCGTCAGTTGGTTATATCTGTCAGTTCGTTATATCCGTCAGTTCGTTATATCCGTCAGTTGGTTATATCCGACGGTTCATTATATCCGTCAGTTGGTTATATCTGTCAGTTCGTTATATCCGTCAGTTGGTTATATCTGTAAGTTGGTTATATCCGACAGTTCGTTATATCCGTCAGTTGGTTATATCTGTCAGTTGGTTATATCGTTCAGTTCATTATATCCGTTAGTTCGTCATATCCGACAGTTCATTATATCCGTCAGTTCATTATATCCAACAGTTTGCTATATCTGTCAGTTGGTTATATCTGTTAGTTGTTTATATCTGTCAGTTGGTTATATCCGTCAGTTGGTTATATCCGACAGTTCATTATATCCGTCAGTTCGTTATATCAGTCAGTTCGTTATATCCGACAGTTCATTATATCCGTTAGTTCATTATATCCGACAGTTTGCTATATCTGTCAGTTCGTTACAGCTGTAAGTTGGTTATATCCGATAGTTCGTTATCTCTGTCAGTTGGTTATATCTGTCAGTACATTATATCCGTCAGTTCGTTATATCCGACAGTTCATTATATCTGTAAGTTCATTATATCCGACAGTTTTCTATATCTGTCAGTTGGTTATATCTGTCAGTTCATTATATGTCAGTTGGTTATATCTGTAGTTGGTTATATCCGTCAGTTGGTTATATCCGTCAGTTGGTTATATCCGACAGTTCCTTATATCTGCACTTGGTTATATCTGTTAGCTGATTATATCCTACAGTTGGTTACATCCGACAGTTCATTATATCTGTCAGTTCGTTACATCCGTCTGTTCGTTATATACGACAGCTCGATATATCCTTCAGTTCGCTATATCCGTCAGATCATTATATCCGTCAGTTCGTTACATCTGTCAGTAAGGGTGAAACGGTACGCTCTTACCACGGTACGGTACATAGTGCGGTACAAGGCTTTCGGTTCGGTCTGTTTCGGTTCAGTATATTAGATATGATCACAATGCAGAAAATTGACAACAAGAGCCAAACCTGACAATGTTTAATAACATGGGGAAAATAATAGCCATAATGTTTGTCATTTTGAATTAACAAAACTGTCATTTTATGACTTGACAGAAGGAGTGAGTGAGTATGGTTTACGCTGCTTTTAGCAATATTACAGCAATATCAAGGCGGGGACACCAGAAATGGGCTTCGCACATTGAGCCCATGTGGAGAGACCACTGGGTTATCCCACCGCCCCCTAGACAGAAGGAACGGTACGATAAGGCCTCAGACCACAATTATTTTCCTTCTTTGCTATCTACAGTGACATGCCAGTGCACCATGATTAATATCGGTCGTACGCTGTTCTCCTGTTGCATGCTGACCAACCTGCCACTTGTCACTTAACCGGCAAAATATGGGCCTGGATCGACCATGTCAATTTTGCTGTATCCACTGTAAACAATGGTCACCGGAAGTTACGAGCCGAAACACACTAGACAGCCTTGAACTTGGGGTCAAATCAAGGAAGGCTGGTGTCAATACCATGTGTAGATTGTGGACCAAAAAACATTTGCAATAAAGTACAATGTCTTACCTTTCATTTAAACTATCACAAGTCACCCTGAAAAAATTAGCACAAACAGAACAGCCCAATTAAACAAGGCACTATATTCTCATATTTTCCTTCCGGGTCATGGTACAAGTTAAGGGGGGTAACTGTGGTCTGAGGCCTATCAACGGAAAATACCGAATTTGGGATTGCATTACGGTATACCGTAAGTTCGTTACATCCGGCAGTTCGTTATATCCGTCAGTTGGTTTACTGTAGTTTACTGTATTACACGTAAAGCGTATGTAGGGGTGGCTGACGAGTTCCTAACTACGAAGATTACCTGGTACTCCCGTATCAGCTTCTATACTTTCAGGCAGCATTTAAACAAAAGACACAACCAGGCAGTATATTTTCCAAGCATCAAAGTTGCAAGATATTGGATTGGTGATCGTGTTTGGCAGCTGGACTCCTGAGAGTTTCTGTGATTTCAGTCCTGTCCCACAACGAAGCACATGTGACACATAGAGGTCTCCCCTCAGGCTAGTGACTTTGTTCAACAGTGCCTCATATCACCCAGCAAGGAATGGGTACCCGGTGGGTCATACGACCTTTAACCTTCCAGCGCCTCAAAGACAGCTTTGGGTGTCGTGCACACGGATCTATAGATAGACAGGGTATTAATGTTAGCGCTTTAAGCATGCACATTGTCTGTGGATGCAAGCTCAATGAAAGTGCAACCATCAATATTATTGTCATATAAATGATAAATAGATATTCGTTTGGCTATGCACTCTTATCATTTATTACCCACGTGGTCAACGTGTGGGTAGTTGCATACTAATCTCGTACGTCACACGAGTGTCGTATCGCGTTGACCTGTGTCGTAACGACTTGACCTGAAATTCTAACGATTTGATTGGATAACCGATGACCTCTCAGTTAGGTCACGTTGTGACGAACTACTTGTTCATTCATAACAAACACGTGAATTCATTCATTCTACAACTTAGATGCATTGTGGGAATGTAAACATTGTGAACGTTGCCGTGTCGCTGTTTAATTTTGAGTCGAACTGAGACATTATATACGTCGAAAAACATAAACGCAATGTTTCCACCAGTGATGTTAGCCGGGTGAAGCAGTTGCAAACCAAGAAACGGGGTGCTACGGAGTAGTTTACTGTAGGAGGCTGTACGAGAGGCGATCACAACTGACATGCATCGTGTCGTCGGTTACCAAGGGGACAGACGAGAATGGCGTAGTGACGTCAATACAGTGTGACGTCATGCAAAAGTGTACTTCAGAACAAAATTCTGCCGCAACCTCTTTATGAAACCGGTTTCGGTTTGAAACCGTAACAATAACAAAAATACGCTATTTTGTCAATTTAATGCATGTAAGACGTGGGTAATAAATAAAATACCACACTCGGGTCTCATTACATACGAATTATACGAAACTCGTGACCTTCCTATGGTTTCTGACCTCGCTTTCGCTTTCGCTCGGTCAGATACCATAGGAAGGACACTCGTTTCGTATAATTCGTATGTAATGAGACCTAGTGTAGTATTCTATAT